AAACACAGACGGATTTCTAGCATTAAATCTTCTCTGTTGGATTTCATCTTCTGAACACCATAAAGAATCAACGCAACACATGTCTCTGTCTAGTTTTAGTGTAGAACTAAAATAATCACTATCATATCTGCCCTACAAACTGGATACTGATCAGGCAACCTTAGTAAGTGCACTTCTGTCCTCTTTATCAGATCCTGCCCCACTTTATCATATAAAACACAGCGGTGGGATGGCCTTTCTGAGCCTTAAAGATTATCTAGCAGCACAGATAAGACCACTGATGCTCTGGTGCAATCAAGAGTATTTAGCCAAATGGAAAGTAATGTCATTGTTGGATTGTCCTTGACAGAATTTGCTGGGATGCCCACTATCTGGACTTTAAAGGGATATTACAGTGTAAAATTAATTTAGGGTCAAACACACCATAACACTGAGTTAGACATCCCGTCGAGAGATGAATGTTGCCGACCGCTTGCTTCTCTAGTTATACCAACTTTAGTAACGACTGCACAATAGCAATACACAGCGGGCCCAGGGGCCACGCGCTCAACCAAAAAGCCACTCTATAGTCACAAATAATGCTCAGAACAGCACCTAACTTCATCAACAGTACATATAGGGTCTCAGCCACAGTTCTAGCCACCAAACATTTTTTTAGCCTTGCCTGATTTCTTTAGCAAAGAGACTCACCCACTCTCTTCCAGCAGCTGTATGGAGACCTCTGGGCGAGTCCATTACCGCAGCGGGGTGACGCAGCTCAAGGAAAAACATTTATGATCATTACTTCATGGAAATGCAATCAGACCGAGACGCTAAGGCAGAAGAACTACTGCGTCTGCAGTGCAAAACGATTAATATGATGATTATTACTTCGAGGAAATGATAAAGTAATAATCATAAATGTTCTTCCTTGAGCTGTGTCCCCCCCGCTGCAATTGATGGACTCGCCCGGAGGCCTCCTTACAAACAAGCAGCTGCTGGAAGAGAGTGGGTGAGTTGTGTCTAGTCTAGTTTGCTAAAGAAATTAGGCAAAGATGCTTGGTGGCTAGTGCTATGGCTAAGACCCTATATGTACTGTTGATGAAGTTAGGTGCTGTTCTGAGCGTTATTTGTGGCTATAGAATGGCTATTTGGTTTAGCGCATGGCTCTCTGTATGCTCTCTGTCGTTACTAAAGTTGGTATAACTAGAGAAGCAAGCGGTCGGCAACATTCATCTTTCGAGTGGGTGTCTAACTCAGTGTTATGGTGTGTTTGACCCTAACTTAATTTTACGCTGGAATATCCCTTTAGGTCTAGAGGGTTCAAGCAATGGGTGAAAAAAGGAGAAGCAGCAATGTGTCCGCTGGCTGATAATATGGAACTCATAGATTTTATCACCATGTTGATGATTTTTATTAGTTTCTCCAACTCTGACATTATTTTGATAAAAATCTTAAACCTATCAGGCATTGCTGAAATGTTTATCAGAGCTTATGAATCAAATTTGACCAGAAAAATTATCCGTGAATAATTTAACTATACCCTTGAATAAAAGGGTTATTCAACACATTGTGTAAAGATAAAACAGGCGAATTAATTTTTATGTCCCTGAAAAATAGACAAATAGTTTTAAAAAGCAAATCACTACCACAGCCTTACAATCATCCAAAGTAAAAGTCCAGACAGAGCAATGCACAGCTGAGAGTATGTGGCCAGTGTATGGCAGATCATACACATACACTGTAGGACTGCGCTGCTTTAAAATCTTTCTGGAAGGATGTCTATGATACTGTCTGAAAAGTATTGTGCTGTGATATAGAATCGACCCATTTGTCTAATTGGGGAACATGGATGTAAAATTATACCTGTGACCCACACCAAACTTGAGCAGTCAAAAAAGATAACCACAGTTAATGCTCAACACTTGCAGCTGTCAATAATCTCTAAGGTTGTAAGTAAGCATATAGGCAGACGACACCGGTGTTTTGTGTTAAAGTGACGCTAAGTGTTTTGTTGCATACTCCACTTTGACACTTTGACTATAAATAAATCTGACAGAGCTTTCTCAGAGTATCATCCCCAAGTGTTCTTTCATCTCAGCTCTTGGTTTCCCATCAGCACAGACTGTTAGCGCTGAGCCAGATGGTAGTTTTGCTGTATGTGACCATGTAAGCGCTACACAAATAGGCCTGGTTTCAATGGTTTCAAGGGATTAATAATGTTAAGTAACACCCATTTCGAACATGGCAGGTGGCGTCTTTCAAATAGAGCTGCTGTAAACGTCTTACAAACAGGTTGAAGGCAATTGTTGCTAAGCATCTCTGGACTATGTTTTACATTTAAGTGTCAGTCTTATTGTATAAGGTGAGAATAAAAACTATTTCTATGGTGATTAAGGATCAGGCCCACTGTCTTGCAGTGTGAAACACACTAATGAGCATGAGTTCAGCATCTCTGTTTTCGTTTTCATAGAAGAAACAGCTGATTTAGAGCAAACACTGTTTTTAAGCTGCACCACTATACTACTTTTTGGCCCACTTTCCTCCATTTTGTGGATATATTTGTCTGGGTAAAAAGTGGGCCAGAACTTTCCCATGAGCCTCCACATGCAGACAGGAATAAGATTTATTACCCAGAATGCCCCACAGGGGAACACTGTCCCCTGCCCTGTCTAGGCAGAATCGATGAAACATGCAGAAAAGAGGAGAGGAGTGGAAAAGAGCAAGATGGAGAGAAGTATTGGCTATTTTGGAGAACAGATCACCCTGGAGAAAGACAGACAGACAGACAGACAGACAGACAGGAAGAAGAAAGAAAACACAAAGTAGAGAGAAGTGGAAAACCAAAAAGCTTTTTTCAAATATTATATCTGTATGTACATTCACTGTCGGTGCACAAAGTACTGATCAGCTCTACTACTTGTTTTCTGCCTTTTTGACTTTTTCACCCTGAGCATGAAGAGACGCCTACTCAACGCACAAGTTGCAAAAAGTGAGTGGTGAGCTTTCAACCAAAGAAAGTAGCAGAAAGTTTTTTGAAGCAGCTCTGATCAATATTTTATTCTGAAAAATGCAAGCCCACATACATGTGAAAGAGATAAATTATTATGATTTAATCACAGAAGACTAAAGCCTGACTTTGGAGATCCCATCAGCTCTGTGGAGGATGCATCTGTATACTTATGATGCAGTTTGTCTAGTACACAACTTTCTTGTTTCCTATATTTCTCATACTTATAAGTCTGGTACTTTGAAAACATAAGGGAAATTTAAGCCTGTAGTGGCTACTTTTACAAAATTAAAAACATTTCTGATGTGCTTCTGTTCCTTTTCTTTACCTTCTTTCTTCATGGGAATGTTCTCAGCCCGGTGGTTGAGTGTTCTGATGACACCCAGTTTGTGCTGTAGAGGATGGTGGGAATCAAAAAGTAGATATTGATCCGTGTGTGTGGGTTTCCTGTACACTTCAACGTTGAGACACCCATCTGCCTCCAAGTGTACAGCACAGTCCAAAAAGGCCAATACCTTGTCCTTGATATCTTCATGGGTGAACTTGATGTTTCTGTCCACTGTGTTGATATGGTCCGTGAAGGCCTCTACTTCATGTGTTTTGATCTTAATCCAGGTGTCATTCACATATCTGAACCAGTGGCTAGGTGCTGCTCCTTTGAAGGAGGTAAGGGCCTTCCTCTCTACCTCTTCCATATACAGGTTTGCCACTATTGGAGAAACCGGGGAGCCCATAGCACATCCATGTTTCTGTCTGTATGGATACGCTATGGGCTCCCCGGTTTCTCCAATAGTGCTCTGACATTCAAATATGGTCAATACAGCCCAAAAGAACAGGAAAGTGACGGGGAAACACTAACTTTAAACAAGCCTATAAAGGAGGAGCATGGCCTGTCTTTTTGAAGTAAGTATTACTATCTCTCTCTCTCTCTCTCCCTCTCTCTCTGCAGATTTCTTTATCTGACTTGTATCTTATCGGATAACACAGACAGATGAGATTAGAGGGGGTATAATGTTTTTAAGACAATGCCCCACTTCATCAAAGTGTCAAAACACAATACGAATCCTCCATCATTCACCGCCATCAAGTCAGAAAAGCCACATGTTGCTATTCGGCCTTAAATCCACAGTTTTAAACTGTTGTTCAGTTTCAGTTTATTGTGCATCTTCTCATCCATCAGCTATTGATCATCTATCAGCAGACTCCACCATGTGGTTTACTTAAAATGGACTCTGCGTAAGTGGTCAAAGCAACTCAGAGTCAGGCATTAGTGACATCTTATGATAAATCACATACATACAAGTCAACAGATGTTTAAAGATGAAGTGAGCTGATGTAAAGACAGAACTTTCTTTTGAGGATCCTCTTGTTTGTCTTAAAACACAAGTATTGAAAAAAGATTCCATACTCTGATAAATAATAATAATAATAATAATAATAATAATAATAATGAAAGGTTTAAGCATTTTTATAAAAGTTAATTGAAAAAAAACACAATACTTAAAATAGTTATAACACCATTATGCATTCCCTGAAATCACTAATTAGTTATCTCAAAATTAAAGGTCATATTTCCTCAGCAAGTTCAGTATGGCTCGCTCTCCATATCTTTTGGTGCCATTCTGAAAACAATTGGCTCTCTAGCAAATACTTAAATGGACACCTCTCACCGTCTTCTCTCGCTATTCTCCCTATACCTTCATTTTCCCTGCTCCCCTTTTTCCTTCATTCTCTAACAAATTTTGCTCCTCTTTATCCCTTCAAGGTTGAACCCTCTGCAAGCATGAAGCTAACAGCTAGAAGTGTTTTACTGCTTTTAACACTTGAAAATTAATGGTGAATAATTTCATTTGACATTAAATACACTGTGTTTATAAAAAATCCGAAGGTATAAAACGTGCTATGCGCTGATGAACTGTGCGTCTCCATGAAAAAAAAAAAAACTTAAAGCGTGGTTAAGTTTTGACACAACTGTTATGTATTTGTAAAGTCATTTACCTGCCTAAGCACTTATCTTTTGAGAGGCTTTTAAAGGTACATTTGATTAGTGTGACCTTTAATTCTGGCCTAGTCCATGTGGGCAACCCATTTGGAGATTATGCCTCAAGCAGTCAGCCTAGGTTCACCTCCATCCTGTGGCTTCCTTTCCGCATATTACTCCCTTACTCCCACTCCCTGTTTCCTATTCTGTCCCCGTCATGTCCTCTGTCCTGCTGTCCTCTCCATATAAAGGCAATAAACCCTGAAAATATTTCTTTATTGAAAAACTTTCCAGTGCTGCCACCTTAAAACAAATGATTGCACTTAAGATACAGCTCTCACAGGTTAACAGCATCCTGCTGAACAAACACAGACCACTGCTCATCTCATTGTGACTTTCAGCCATCGTTGACACAACTCATTGATGACTCCTCAAAAACACTGAAAGCAGCTCCTGGCTTCTCTATTTGTTCTAAACATCCCCAATCAACTCATTTAACAGCCGCTCCAAGAGCCCCACAAGCCGCCGTGCAGTGCTGCGGGAACAGATGGTTAGCGCGTGTTTGTGTACATACAGCACATATGTAGGTCAGGTACACCACAGTTGCTGGTTGCCATGGGAACTGGATATCAAACATGACTGCAATCTCTTGGAGGGAAAAATCGACTCGTGGCCAAGCTGTGGCTCTCGCACCTCTCATCCCCTGACAGCGGTTAACCCTTTCGGATTATATCTCAGATTATGTGGGGAGAAAGTTCTCATCATGGAAACAAGCTCAGACCGGTTTTCTGCAACGCTCTGGATCAATAATCCGTCACACATCTGGTCAGCCCAGAAGGTGATGCCTGCGCTCCCATTAACCTAAATTTACTGTAAAAATAAACAAATAAATAAATAAAAACCTAATCCCACTCTTTGACCTGGAATATCATGTCAAAATCAGGCTGGGTGTCTGTCTCAGATTTATTGGTGAGTGTCTCTACACGACCTTGGGGATTCACAAGCAACACAAAGGGATTTTCCCTGCCTGTCTCTGCCTGAGACATGCACACATTGTCTACACACACACACATTTATGCTCTCTGTATGGTAAGAAGTGCACGTGATTGGATGCAGCGAGCTGTTGATGCATGTTGAATGCTGATGAGGTTCTTTGGGTGCTTTCCTGGAGGATGAAAAAAAAGAAAAAGAGAAGTGGTAGAAAGCTTCCTCTGTGCCTGCAAGACAGAGAGGAAGGAAGAGGAGAGAGGAGGGAGAAGGAGAAAGAGAAGGGGGGTTGTTGTTCCCACATTATTCATCAAAGTCATACCCTGTCTTCACCTCCTGGTTGGACCACGCACGTGCATCCAATAACGTATAGGTGGCACTACTTGTACACAGTCACGTGGGACTCTCTCTTTCTCATCCCATAATTCACTGTCATCGTGCCTTTAAGAGCTTTGCTGTGCAAACACTCCAGTAAACACGGCGGCCTCCCTTCTCGGCTGTATTGTCCCATGTTTTCATGCCGAGAGGTGGATAAATACACAAACCTACCCTGTCCTCACAGTGTCCCTTTTTTTCTTTCATTCCTTTTTTTAGGTCTGTTCTGGCTAATGAGGTGAAAAATTAGCTTGAGGCTCACCAGGGAAGCTTTTAGGGTCAGAGGCATGCAAAGTAATTTTTGGTGTGAGAAAGCTGCACAAAGGGCATTGTGTATTTATATACAGGCTAAACAAAAGATTAGACAAAAGGCTGCTCAAGGCATCTGACATGTCAAAACCAAGTACATCTGCAGCAGGAAGTTTAACAATATTTGGTCTTATTTACCTGCCTGTCTGAAAGCAAATTACATGTAAAGGCCAAAACCAACAATCATCTGAGACGACTGTCCTGTGTAGCCGAGCTTGATCATGGCTATTACTCTGTCAACACCATAATTTAGCAACAGCGGGGCTCTGGGTGACAACACTTTTCATAACAACACAACATGCCTGTGGGTGAAGCATTTACAGCTTGGTTCACATGGAAAGCTCCTTGAACCCAGAGTCTTTGCATTGAGAAACAACAGTCTTTACAAATACACCACGGGACAACATCATCTAGTTTAAACATATTTATTGCAAATTGATTCAAAGGCATGATCAAGTCTGTGTTTGTTTGTAGTTGGAAAATTTCAGGACTATGAATGAATGCCCTCTGCTGGGATTTGAGCCAAATCATGCCCACCATGAGACATCCATTTTTACCACCACGCTAAGGTACTGCTTTGGTACAATTAATTATATAGGTCTCCTCTGTGTTAATTCAAAAGCATTGTTCAGACCCGGTGGTATAATTGCAAGTTACTAGTTTCGTGTAAATTGGCCATTGCGCGGATTTGAACCGAGAATCTACAGATTGTTTGACATCAGTGCTCCCTGTGACACTAAGGTGCCACTTTGCAAGATTTACAAGTCCAGGATTATCTGCTTTCTGGAAGAGTATAGTGATTCAGATGCTTGGCCTGTACTGTTATAGTAGGACCTAGGATTTTTAAACTCTACATGAGAAGGACCTTATGAAGATTAGAGCTCATAACTCCCTGTCTGTGCCGCCATACTTACCATCTTCAGTAATGAACTACTATGCAGGACTTATTTGTTCATGTCTATTTCATTTCCAGTACATTACAGTAGGTTGCTTACTTAATTTTCGCTTATTATTTTTTCTCAATTTTCTTTCTTTTAGAAGACACAATTTAGTTACATAAAAATACTCAAACAAACACTAGGTTATTATTTAAGGTCTACCAAGGGGCCCCTGCCGCCATTGGAGCCCTCTGTAGTGTTTGCTCTAGCATGTGTCCAGACATGGCAGTCAGCTTGAAATTTGACATTTTGGAGCAATAAACTGACAAGGTTGTATTTATCAAGTTGTATTTGTTGTTTACAGAAGTCCACAAGGTAGGAATGCATTTGGCCTTGAAAGTGGTCTTATTGAACGTAATCTATTTTTTATTGATATCAACTTCAAAAAAGAAAAAAAAATGTTTAGCCAAAATCTTGACACCAATTTCAAGAAAAAAATTCCATGTGCTATCATTCATCCTCTTGCCATACCTCCTATTTTTAGAGGATTGCTGGGGTAAGTCTTTGGGAGTGGAACTGATCCATGTTGGCACTGGGCAGGATACTTGCCACACCCTGGACTGACTGCCAGTCAATCTCTAATGGAGTCAGACAACCATTTACTGTTGTACTCACTCCAACAGGAAATAAAGGGTAAAGGATTGGCCATAAGTATGTTTTTTGACTGCAGGAGGAATTACCAGGAATATACATCCATTTTTATTCCAACAGTATTTAAATATGTGACCTTTAGACTCCAGTGAGTGGAGTCTTTATGTAACAACTGTGAGTTATTTAATGTGTTTGTATTTGATGCACACAAAAGACTAAGTGCCTCCGAGCAGAAGCTGTTATTATGATACTAGAATAAAGCAATGTAAGGGTTTTTTTCTACGCTGGTGGTCTTCAACATGTGGAGTCTTGGGGTTTTTTGTGGTTTTATTTGCTGTGTTTGATCAGTTTCAGAGTTAATTCCACAAATTCCCAGTGGGTGAAAATATCCTCCTTAAGGCTGTTGCTTCTGATGCTCTTGAAATTCATCTGATGGTTGAGTCAGGGATGATTCTGGCTGTCTGCACTTCCAACAAAATGACTCAACACTCATCCAGCCGCTGTCACACTTCACAGAAAAATCAAACAGGGGACATGACAGCACATGTTTGAGATAAAAACGTGGAGGCTGCTGGATTCTGCACTGCTGGCATACAGAGTAGGAATGTTTTGAGCTGATTTGCTGATTTGTTCTTGTCCTTTCTTTACCAGAAAAAAAATAAACAAGTCAAGGGTCTACAAAGGCAGATTTATGACCAGAAATTCACCTTTTCTGATGTATTACACTAAAAAAGAACCCGTGTAAGAGTCGATTAATACCATGTCATTTGAGGATAATTCAGTCCGCCCTGTTCTCAGTTACTTAAAGTATTAAATGAAACTCCAACTGACTCTCTGATGATTCAGGAGGACAGATGAGCCAATTTTAAACCTTCAAATTAATTCAGCTGATCTCCTGTGATACTCTGAGCATTTCTTCTTTCCATATTAACTCCAGGGAAGGATATTTTTCCTGCACAGTAAATGAATCAGATGCATCCTAGCGGTGAGTCATCAGAACTAAACCAGCCAAATTAATGAGGTATACCTTGTTGAGGGGGGTTGCTGACTCTTGAAAAGTGAGTGGCGTTTTGACAGAAATTCTATTGAAATTCACAAATACCTGCTCGCCCTGCAGTGATACTTCATGTATTGGTGCATCATTAACATTTCAACTGACCTTTCTTATGCATTAAAATACACCCCAGCATGTCAAACAGCATCACACAAACTCCAGCAAATGTCAAAAATTCACCAGAATTTCAAGTAAAATCAAGAGAATCAAGTCAAAACAGAGGTGCTTGTTTATTGGAGGCTTTTTCTTTTTTGTGAGTTTTTTTTTTCTCCAGTCTGACAGTCTAATTGTGTCTGCAAGCATTTAACAAATCAGATGAGACATACACAAAGGCCTATAATGCCATCTTGTGGTGTCAAGAGGTATTAAAACCATTCTGGTGAGATTTTCAAAGGAATTGGATTAGAAAGGCAAGAGAGATCACATCAGAGTTTGGAGTTTAAGAATAAAGCTGTAAAATGACTAAATAAAATGTGGTTTCCAATTGGCTGAGGCTGTTCAAAAAAGATGACACTTTTTTTTTTTTTCAAACCTACATATCTCCCACCATCTCCCACTTCCTTCTACAAACACATATCACCTATCATCTTACTATCTAAAAACTGTGTTTGACAGAGTTTGGTCCCTGTAAAACAATGGCTGTTGATGTGACTTTACATCCATGTTTCAGATGGTGTTGATAAAATGCTTTCAAAACTGAAAACATTGAATACAAAGCCTAATGCCTAAAAAAATTCAATGGTTTGTGTTGTAATTCATAATGAATAGTATGGCTGATGAGAAAGACAACCTTTTAAGAAGGCAACAACAGATCACTTGCAGGGGTTAAAAGTATACAAATAAACCACAATAAACACATAGAGAACGTGATCCTGTCTCTGAATAGGCCAGCTATACTATCAATGACCTCTGACGCAGACCACAGAGTTAATACTCTTAAGAGGCCCATAGTGCGACAAATTCTGTTCTTTTTTGAAACTTGATTTTCTTAACATAGGAACTTTGTCTGATACTGATATTTTATCCATCTATATCTTACCTGAAACCCTACGATATTATTTTTCTAAACAACAATATTCATAACTTAATGTCTATAACAAAAGTCATAGACATTAAGAATAATGAGAGTTAAATATTAAGAAACAATTGAGATAAATGTTACACAAAATTTGGTCAAAGAAATATTTGGTTTGTGTTTCCATGTGCAGTATGTCTGTATGAACTTCCTGAAGAACCGGATTACGTAGTGAAGATGCTGACTTAAAAGAAAAAAAGGAATCTGACGTTGAACTATTTCAACATATTGTGAAGTCCCTGACCACTGAGTGCTCACAGTGATATTTCTTGACAACCTTAGACTACAGAAGTGAAACTGCGCCTGTTGCCTGAAGACAAGGTCACCGAACACAGAATCATTGTGGTCATTTTTCCACTCAGTGACTGTATTTCAGGCTAAAAAGTCAGTCAGTAAATTTGATTTGAAATGTGAAAGAAGAAAAAGACTGCAAACGTTTGACAGCAGCTCTCCCCAGAGAGCAATCAAACAAGACAAACTCTTATTAGCTCACGTTAACACTCAAGAAAAGTGACCATGGTTTTATGCTAATGAGTTAAGACAATTACTCTACTTTAAAAGTTGTAAATGTATCAGTGAAAATTGATACAGGTGATCTTTGCATTGTGAGATTGAATTTAAAATTAAATCATTACATTTAAAGTAGTTGAATCTTATATGATTTAATATTCTTACAAAATCATTTTTGGCTATATATATTATTTTACCTTTATTTACAGTTTAATCAACTTATTATAAATCATGCCTCTATTAAATAAAGTTCTTCTTATCTTACCTTATGTTATCTTGTTTTATCTTATATTAGTTTGCTTTCAAAATCTTACAAATACAGGTATGATTTTGTACATCTTGTGTTTTTTTCTCTCACATAGCTCTTATCTTTAGTACCATACAATTTTTTTGGCATATTACAGTAAGTTACTCTTATTACATGTAAATGGTTTATTAAAAATGATGGACAATGTTTAACTTTCAGAAAGGTATAAGAACCTCTTACCTCTTTATAAATGTGTTTCCATTCATATATTCCTCTTATTTTTTTCTACTTCTTTCTTGTCAAGTTTCGGTATGTTGGTTACTCTAGGAGTTGTAAAAATCATTTTCAATTCCCATTTTTTAAAAACTTTAAGTTCCCTATTGTTGTTGTTTCTCCTTTTTTTCAATGGTCCTCTTTCTTTTACTTCACTTTGAGGCCTTCCAGGGGCTTGTTTTCAGGGAGCCACATAGTTTACAATAATATGCTGTGGTTTGACTTTTATTATACAAATTAGCATTAGCATTAATAAACCAACATACTGAAACATACTGCAAGCTAAATCATAACCGCAAATAAAATGTATGAAATAATAAAAGTATGATAAGGTTTCCATAACAAGTTTACATGCAATCAACCAAGTGATGAACATTTCGCATAGTCTACATTTACTTCTGGTGGGTGTCCTGAAGTATATCTGACTCTAAACTTTTGTCTTTCTCATTTTTACTTTGAATCGTGTGCATTTTACTTGTCTCTGGCAACATAATCCTGCATTTAGTTGCTTATAATTGTACCACTGAATACAAAGGTGAGGATAGAGGAAAACCTCTCAAAAGCCAAACTAACTACTATCACTGAAGCGATGCGACTGACCCCAGTCTCCCCTACTTTTACAACGTGGTGTCACGTTGTCCCCCTTAAGATCCAAGATTTCTTAACTTTGAGTTAATTTGCGTTAAAATCACACTTCACCACGGGTTTTCGTGGCGAATACATTCTGGATAGTGTTAATACAGTTCTGTAACACGGGTTTAATTCTGAAAACACTCAGTTTCGCTGGGTTTACTGGTGTTTTATCTTCAGCTGGGGATGTCTGAATGGTGAACTGATCTAGGGAAAAAAAAAAAAAGAAAGAAAAGAGAGCTTCCCTGGCAGGCATCACCCCCTCAGTCAGTCTGACCGCCCACAGTCCGGGGGGAGAAAGTGCTGCTTTGTGAATGAAGGGAGCGGCGGAGGACAGAAAACAAACTTTGACAAAAATTATCTCCGGCGCGTAACCATTTTATTTCCAACTGCGTAGTTTGGACGGAGAGACGAGCGACACCTTCACGACAAGCACCGAGAAACCGCAGTAAGTTACGACGTCTTTAAGGAGCCTGTGTAGCGCTGATAGAAAGCAGATTGACAGGGTTTTTTTCGACGGAAAGATGCATGCATGGCAGCCTAACCGTGACTTGAATAACTGTCGTGAGATGGGAGATGATTTCAGGACAGAATTTAACTGTTTCCCCCTCGGGAGTACGCCGGTTTTTATCCTAACCGGGGTTTTTGATGGAGGAACGCTCGTGCGAACTAATGTTGCTGTATAGGATTATTTCTCTTATGTTGAAGATTTGAAGAGCCTTTAGGTTGAATTGGGATTGTTTGTTGCGTCGTGTCTCCAGTCTGATTCCAAAACCCTAAACAAAATCCAAATTTTTGAACTTTAATATGCCATATTATTCACCCGTCTCGTGCTTTTATTTACTTTAGCATCTCCACGTTTCATGCAAACTTTCCATCTGTTTGTCGGTGTGTTTCGCAACATTTCATGACTCATGCAGTAGACGTGCATTCCCAATGTCACCATGAACAATAAATAGACTCACAGAAGACTCATTCATGATATTATGAGTCCTCACAACAGTCTCGTGTGAACGTAAATATGACCATAGCACTGTGAGCCTCTGATACCTTGGTATGATCTTTGATGTAGCTGTGAAAGATCGTCACTTTAAATGAAATGAGCTTGTAAGCCACTTATTCAGTTACTTTACCTTCTGAAGACACTCTCTCATCTTTAATCTTCTGCAGAATCTGCTCAGTCCAGGTGTTTTGGAGACTAACCATGGTGGTTGGTTTGGCCTGCGTTACTTGTCTCTGCCTGGCAGTGGTCGTCAGAGCTGACCCCTGTCTCATCATCAGTGAGATCAACGCAGACAACCCAAGACTTGACACCACAGAGTTTGTGGAGTTGTATCACACGAGTGGACAACGCGCCTCTTTAGATGGATACACTCTCGTCTTCTATAATGGGAATGGAAATGTAGCCTACAAGGTGCTGGACCTCAAAGGTCAGAGCACAGATGACAGAGGGTTCTTCCTGATAGGCTCAGTGGACATGCTGCCCAAACCGGCCATCCTCCTACCCCCCAACACAGTCCAGAATGGCCCAGACGCCATTGTCCTGTACCACACATCTGCTGCTCGCTATAGTGAGAAGATGAATGTCACCTCTCACGGGTTGGTGGACGCTGTCGTTTACATGACTCGGCGTACAGGCGGTGCAGAGTTCCTTGCTGAAATTCTGACCCCAGGAGAACCAGCCTTTGTGGAGGATGAGACCGCCCTTGAGGGTGACGAGTCAATTGAGAGGTGTCTGCTATCAGAAGACCGCTGGGACTTTCAGGTGTCCTCCCCCTCTCCAGGTCAGAGGAATAACTGCACTGCACCTGCTGCACCAGCAACCATTCCTGTCATCAATGAAATAAAGCTGGGAGGAGGGCAGGTGGATGGGTTTGTGGAGCTGACAGAGGCCTCAGCTGCAGGTCTGCTGGTGCTGGTTGTGTTGGACGGGAAGACAGACAGAGTCAGTGTGAGTGCTGATGTGAATGTGGATAATGCAAGGAATGGTTTGATCTCCATGACCATAGAGAAGAGCTTCATGAAAGGTCAGTATGCTGTGATTGGTCAATAGAGTGGTTCTTTAACTGTGATCTGTATCCGAATGTAAAGAAAAGGTTCTTACCACACCAGTTCCAGTACTGAGATTTAGTGGACCCCCTTGTATGCCATTATGCTAAAATGGTATACATATTGTTGAGCCTTGTCAGGCTTCTACAATTTTTTTTCTGTTAACAATAACATCTACATAACTACATAACAACTGACCTATAATCACTTGCATTCGGGGACTGACTGGTCATGGTCTGCTTCCAGAAACCCTTTCCCCCATTTAAGGCTTGATTGAAGACCTTTATTGATTTTGGTAACCGTGTAAAACAGTTCTGTCCTTAATGCAACCAAGATTTTGAAACATTGAGAACTCCAATGATGTGATCAAAGCAAGCAGTGCTGATGCGATAACTAAGCCTCGCCAATAAAAAGGGTAGTTTCCACTATTGTGGTGCCAACTGAGCGTGGTAACTGTGTTATTTTATTGTTAAAGCTGAAGGAGGGTATGTTACATTATGAGAAAAATATAAGGGTAGGTATAATACCTATAATTATTTTTTCTGACACTCTTGAGGAGACACAGGTCAGGAGCTGGCAGAGGCTGAGGCTGCCAGCTCCTCATATTAGCTTAATTAGGTTTCTGGTGCTCATCTTCCATTGGGACTTAGCAACAATAGCAATATGATGAAATTTATCAGGAAACAACAGGGTTAGAAGTATTCAGCAGATCATAAGGTCTTATTTTAGTCTAGACTGGTATCAGAGAGTTACTTCATGAAGGTTTCCAAACAGTATTAGGAAGAAGAGAAGATGTTGGAATATCCTTAGTTGTTGCAACTTTGAAATGTTGAAATTCAGAACATCAATCATTTCTACACATTCTTACACTTTCATTTCACCATAAATTTGTTGTTCCTGCTTTTCTTTCTTCTTAGGAGATGAGTCTGGGGCTGTGGCCATTTACAGTGGCAGAGCATCAGACTTCCCCGTTGGCAGCTCTCTGAGCCAAATACAGCCTCTGGATGCTTTTGTGTTTGCTGGACCTGGGAACAAGCCGAGTGCCAACCTCACAGAGACTCTCATCCCAGGCAGACATCCATATCAACTTAGCAACAGGCAAGATACCATGTCCGACATGAAGGCTTTTTTTGCCTTTATTTAAAAAAGACAAACCACTCAAACATGACTGCAGTACACACAAGAGCTGAGAGAACCAGTGAGCTTGGTGGGGCTTTTAATGACTTACCGATGTGAATACGAGATGTATTTATGGTCTGTGGTTTTTTTTTAGGCTACCCTGAAGTTGTGTGGCTTATTGAGTTCTGTGAAAAGTGTTTCACTTAGTGGGGGAAAGGGTCGGTCAATGACGTATGTTCCTCTTTCTTGATTCATTTCTTCTTCTTTGGCATGTGAATCACTGCGGAAGAGCAGAAACCACGTGTGTACACTCAAAGTCACACTGACTCAGACATGTAAAAAAAAAGGTTTGCAGAACAGCTTGCAAAAGTGAGCATCAAGTTTAACGCCTCTTCAATAAAACACAGGAAATCGTAAGACTTAGATCCTACCTGCAAAGCAGTACTATAAGCAAATAACATCTGAGACTGATGGGAGTGTCATTAGATCTAAAGGTGTTCAGTCATTAAGAAATGAGTTCAACTGAGTCAAATTAGGACCTAATGATTATATTATATTGAGGGAAAATTTGAATTTTATCAGAGCTATTATGATTGATTATTCAGGCAATCTGTACCAAATTTCATTACTATCAACGTAATTGCTGTAAAGACAGCTACTATGAGCTCACAGTTTGAACTCCAAGAGTACAGTCAGGAGTTCACCAAAGCCAGTAAGATTCATCTTCTCAGTGCTGTGATCATCAGTACAGAATTTCATTCCAGTCCCCTTGGTACTCCAGTTTTTTTCAGAGTGTCAGCTGTGGAGATAGTCCTCGAGCGGGACTAAAGATGATGGAAACGTGCTTTAGAAAAACATTGAAATGAGAGGATGTGTTCTTGCAAAGTGTTATGATGCAATTTTTTTGCAACTACTGAAAAACACAAAGATATACACAATGTGATATTTTATGCTTTTAGGATAGTGTGTAAGATTAATTCCTTAAAGATTTCGTCTTTCCTTCAGTTTGAGAGAGGGGGGCTTTTATCTGAGTCGTTGTGGTGTGGCCACCTGGACAAGAGACCCCGGCGTCTTCTGGGAGGCCCCACAAACTCCTGGACAGCCCAACCAGTGCCCCTGGCCAAAGATCTGCCCTCACAGTATTGGTGAGTGTTAACATAACTCATGACTTTTGGATTTTACTATTATTAATACCTTTTATATGACTCAAATATAAAAGTTATTAGTCATTGCAGTGAATGTTAAGTTATTGCAATGTTGCCACTTTGTTGTGCTTCCTGTCTTTGTATTCTCTTGTGTTCTCTGTTGCCTGTCTGCCTCAGAACAAGAACTAACCCATAAAACTGCCTTAATTGGTCCTGCATTAAGATTTTACAGTACCACATTCTGGTTGGGCGAGGGGTTCTTTACTCACACAGAATTAATACTTCTATAACTTGCTGAGAATAAGTTTTAAATTTTAAATAAGTAAAGAATAAGATACGGTCTTTTAGATATGACAGAATTCTAATCTTGATTTTTATGGTGGTGTGGGTCACCCTCTGTAGACATGAAAAATCTTGGGTCTTATTAACTATTTGTTTGAACAGAATTAAAATGAAAGTAACCAAAGAGTATAATGGTAAGAAAATGCTTAGAAACAGTCCAAATTCAGCACAGTTTATCTGACGTAGCAATGGACAAGATCACAAAGTCTGTGGGTAAAAAATGTCAAATTGGTTTGCCAAGTGTGGCTAATGTTAGCAGAGCTAGCTGTGCCAGCCTTTAGTCCTCCATGCAGGTTAACATTTACATGGTTGTGCTGGTTATGCTTTGCTCTGATTGGTTGGATGCCTGTTTTAACCGGACACACCCTACATACAACTCGTCCACCTAAAGGGATCTATTGACACAATTACCCAATAACTATACATCATCCCCTACAAGGTTGTTGGTCTGGGTAGTAGGCAGTGTAGCTTGCACACAATATATAGCCTGTATTTTAGGCTTACAGAAATAAGAGAAGTAATAATTATGTGAATCATTTTTACTAGAATTAAAAATAACTGACTCATATTTCTAGTGCCTAGTTATAATGCCCCTACCACATGTCAATGTTTGTGTCTTTGGAGCTTTTTTTTTTCTTTTTGAAGGGATGTTAGTCAGTTTCATCTTTGTTGTTTTTATGACACAAAAACTGCAGTTTGATTATTTTCATAAATTATTAGGATAAAGGGATACTGCAGATACAATAGAGACAATTGCAAGGCCTTGTTTTGATATTCCGGGAAACAACAAACAGGGTGTTGCAATGACTTGATGGTACATGGCATCAAGATCATCAAGTCAAGGTGGTGGGAGCGAGATAATGTGTGGCTGTGGGAAAATAAAGATGACTCACCTTTTTAGTAAGACCATTGCCAGACAGATTTGTGTGCTTGGCTCATGTTGTATCACAAGCTACATGCCTATGCTTGCATACAGGGACACTTTAATCCGGTTTCCTTTTTATCTTGGAGAGCCATTGAATATTTCTCGTGTAACAGTGTGGCCTAAGGGAAGTGAAGCTTTTATTATAAGTTTGCTGAGGGCGAGTTAACTGGGTACTAAAGTTACACACAAAAGAACTGAGAGTTGGTGGGTGGTGCCACTTTTATGGAGAAATGAAAAATAAGGGAAGTTATGATGAGAGGGAAAAAGCCAGTGTTGGTTTACTGCTAGGAATCAGCCAAATTTATTCAGAAGAGAGTACAGAAGACATTAAGTATGACTTGAACCAGCAGGAGTTAAGTCAAAAAGCTAGAAAATAAGATTTTGTGGGGAAGAATCAGCTTTTTAAAGTTATCAACACTAATTAACTATCACATCAAAACAAGGTAGGAGGATAAGGAAAAGAAAAAAGCTGTTGCAATCTCACTAACATGCAAAGTTAAACTTAGCAAGCAGAGAGGCAAATGCACTTTGTGGTTTGTTTTTGAAGAATGCTACGTAAATTAAGATATCATTATTATTATTATTATTATTATTATTATTATTATTATTATTAACATTAAATAAAATATTTCCTTTGGATGGCAAAGATGATATGTCTCCTTGCTTTGCATTGCACTCAACTTTGCTGTTGTGGAGTTGACAAAGTTAACAAAGTGGTTACGATAATGTGGTTGACATTCATTAAGACTTTGCTGGTAAACTAAAAGCTCATTTCTATCACTTAGTGGCAATACCAGCATGTTTCTAGATCCTATCTGTCACATTACGACGAAATAACCAGAAAATAAAATAAAGTATAAGAGGACTTTGCCAGAATTTTCTTTTAAATTCAACAGCAACATAAAGGGGCTCCTCAAAAATAGCTTTGAACAGAAGTTTACATTTATTACATTGTTATTTATGTAATAATAAGAGTAGGTCAACAAGTCAAGTGAATCAGATATCTATCAGCAGCAAACTTGGATGCTAAGTCAGGTTAAAATGTCTCTCTCAGGATTAGATCTTTAAAATGTGAGTAGTCATTAAACTGACTTAAAAATGAACATATCCTGATCTGGTGACAGCCATTAAAGGTAGTGTCACAAAATGTGCAAAAAAGAAGTTTGAGTGTGAAGCTGAAAACTCTTTAGCAGGACACGATTTAAATGTATCCTTAAGCTTGTCTTTTATAAGTCTTACAGTGGGACATGGCTTTTTTGCTTCTTGAGGAGAAAATCAATGAGATAAGAGAGTGTGGAACAGCAAAGTTGCATCACTGCTGTCCAGCTGGCATTGCTGTACCAGGCTGATGTGATAAAATCACAACAAAGTCAAAGAGATAACTGTGAAGGTTTGTTTGTCCTTCACCCTAAAAGCACTGTGTGGAAGTCTCTTGCAGATGAAATACAGTGAAATACTGCCATCTACTGCTTCATTTTGGAAACTAATTCAGTGTCTAATTAAATTCAAAAAATGTTCCCATGCAATTCTCCATAATCAAAAACGCTTGCCTTTGTATATTAAGTATCTGCCACAAGCTTCAATTGTGGATATAAAACATTCAGAAGATACTGTATCATTGGACTATAATATGTGATAGGCTGTGGCCAAACAGGAATATATCACATTAATATTAAATAACGCTAACAGCCAGATGACTAAAGAAAGCACAAATACTAAGAGCAGCTTTGAAGTATCAAAGGCTAACACACTCACTCAGCCTACCAGATCATCTGTACAGGTCGTGCAGGAAAGTGTGTGGTGTTGTTTTCTAAATTCACCCAGGTGAAGTGAAATGAAACTATTCCTTTGATACTTTCCTCGTTGCTTCAGTGATTCCAGGTGGGACAGATTCACCGCCTCACCTGCCACCGTGGGGAAACACTGACTTCTTGATCAATGAGCTGAACACTGACACACCTGGCGCAGCTGAGGACGGCGAGTACATTGAGCTCTGGCACCCATCAGGACGCCGTGTCTCCCTGCAGGGCATCTGGATCCTACTGTTCAGTGCACACAACAACAGACCCTACAGAGAGATCAGCCTGAGTGGACACTTCACTACCTCGAAGGGATACTTCCTGATTGGTAGTGACAGATTAGTGCCAGCTCCATCACTCCGCCTGCCCCCCAACACCATCCAGAACGGACCAGATGCAGTGGCACTCTATCGCAGCCCTTTTGGCCCACCATCAGCCGCACAGAGGGGGATTCCCACCAGAGGTCTACTGGATGCAGTTGTGTACCGACAGAGGGGATCAGACAGAGAGGCACAGGTGCTGAGTAAAGCTCTAACACCAGGACAGCTGCCCCTGCTGGAAGATCCTGAGGTTCTACCAGGCGACGAGGCGCTCAGCCGTTGTCGAGGCCTCTACCCCTATGACCTTTCAGCGTTTTCAGTAAGTACAAAGAACAGCCATTGCTTTAAAAGAGATGGCAGAAGTACAACTTAACAAGTGATAAGGATAGAAGAAAAGTGCTGTAATTAAAGGTGTAACTTGCCATATTGTGAAGTTGTGCAGCTGCCGTTTTATATGTACTTCAAATGTAATAGTCCTATTTTCTTCCTTTAATCAAACTCTGGTATCTGAGTTTTATTTTCATCCACCTCTACTGATACCAGAGAAAAAAAGCCAGAACATATTATGAGTGGGAAACCATCATATTAATAACTTCATCATTTCTGTATTGTATCACAAACACATGGCATCACATCCATTCATTTATTCAATTCAAAGCTTTGCGCACCAAAGCTTCAGGATGTCTTTGATAATCACTCTGCCTATTTTACATTTATTGTCCACTTAGAGCAAATGAAGCACAATAATGAAGCTTCGGCCCAAAGGTCAAGCAATTGGATGTAAAGCTTCAATGCTTCAAAAAGCTTCATCTCACCATCACTAGCACGTAGTATACAATTTGTCGAATCTGCACACAAATCAAAAAGAGAAAAAACTGGTACATTCTGGTTTTACAGGCCACTTTGAGCCTCCCAAACAGTCTTATCACTGGGACCCATTCCCAATCTTCATTCTCGGGCCCCGGTACTCAACTCCCACAAACTAAAACTGAGAAATATGACACACATTTGCTATCACGTAATGTTGCCTGTAAACAATCTGTGGCCCTTAAAAATCAGACAAAAATGCCACACTTGTAGTGTTGTACAGTATTGTGGGTTAAACATTTAAACTTTTGTCAAATTAAGGAAACTGCAGAGAGTCATAAGACAAACAGACCAAATGTAAACACCGTGTAAAAACTTGAATAAAATTCAAACTCTACAGACTTGGCAACCACGACTGCCACTCAAACCCTTAACCTTACTGTCTAGAGACGACTAAGCCACAGGCACTCCTTTGTAGATTTTGAGCAATAGTTGATCACAAATGACATTGTCTGCTAAATGACATTGTAAAATCTGTTTAACTTTTGAAGATGTCTCCTTATTGAATAAACACATCTAAAAGGTGTCAACTACTACAGGTGGCCATACCCACCCCACTCAGGGAGAACAGCTGCCCTCGCCCCCCTCCAGCTCCTGAAGGTGTGGTCATCAGTGAGGTGGCTAGCGGCCATTGGACCAATCACAGCCAGCAGAGGGCTTTCGTTGAACTACATGGGCCCCCGATGACAAGCCTGCAGGGCCTGGTGCTAACTGTGTTTGACCAGGAGCGCAGTGGTACTGTCATTGCCCTGCCTTTAACAGGAGCTATCGACCAGGATGGATTTTATATGGTTGGAAATGTCACCGGAGCAGGTGAGAGATGATTGAGATCATGCTTGAGGAAATTTAGTGATAGATTTGCGCTCACTCTCACTTCTAACTTTCTTTTTGTGTTTTCCACTATCCTTCACTTCCCTTCGTCACCTTCTCTGTCTCCTGCACAGATCAGGCTTTCCCAGAGGGCTCCGCAGTGCCGACACGAGGAGCAGTGGTCCTGTGCTATGATCTGTTCAGTGTGTGCCGAGCTGGTACAGCACTGACAAACTCCAGTCTCAGGGATGTGCTTGTGTTCAGTGAGAATCAGCAGCTGCTCTCCTCTCTGTCCACCAGCAGAGGGAGACAAGTGATTCCTGCTCTGAGGTAAACACAGGATAGGACGGACTGCACAGGCCGCTAAGGATATTGAATATGAATGACTAGAAAAGGATGTAATGCAAGTGCTTTAATCCAAATATCTAGCAAAATAATCTCTCAAAAAGTATCTGCTGGTCAAAAGATATTGGTTTATGCTCATTTTTGTAACCACTACTGGTTTTATTTTGATGAAAGGAAGTTAAACTGAGAAGACAAGAATTACATAAACCAAAATAGTCTATAAAAGAGTAAAACAAGAGCAGCTTTGTTGGAGAAGAGAAAATGTCCAGTCCTGACTCTGCTCAGGAATACTTTAACAGCTTCTACCAGTGCTACCTATCAAATTTTCTTTGTAAAAAAGACCTCACTGTGAGGGGAGGAAGTTAATTTCTACCACCCCCACATATAAGTTTCCTTTTAGGAACTCTGGATTTCTGGCAGTAATATGCTCAGTAAAGTTTTTCTGTAGCAGCAGCCATATTCCATCACTGCTATCAGTTTTTGGATCAATGATATGATGGTCGCAAAGTTTCCAAAACCACACATTCTGTTATAAATCCACTTACTGAGGAGGTGCCTGACAATGACCAGGAGCCAGGACACTTTCCCGCAGTTTTTTTTTTTGTCCTCAGCTTTCCCTGCAAAATAACGGCACAAAAACATGAACAGTTGCTTTCAAAAATAGTCGCCTATTGTATCACTTGAACATTACAGAATTAAAGCAACATTTGGTCTAATCTATCTGAACAAACTTTGATATTAAATTTGAAGCATTGTGTATTGAAGATTAAATATTTCCATAAATACGTGTGATGGATTTAAACTTTCATTTTATTTTGCCTTGTAGTTATACTATATGTGTATTATTGGGTGCATGTGCAGGTCAGTAGAGGATGGTCCTGTTTCGCTCAGCCGGTGTTCCTGTTGTGAGGTGAGAAGTCCCTCCTCATGGACAAGCTCCTCCCCCACACCCCACAGCAACAACCTTTGCCCAAGCTCCGCCTTCTCAAGTCACATTGACCTCTGCCTTGGACCCCTGTCCAGTGACTGGCATGAGCAGTCAGGAGGTAGGACAAACATCATGATTGATAAGGATGTGAAGAACAGATAGGATGTGAAGAAGAGATAGAGTGTGTCAGATGTTGAAAAGATAGGGAAACACAGCAAGTTCTGGGTCTCTGGTGGGAAAAGTTAGCTAGTAATAACAAAGTAGCCTTTGACTTTCTTGATACTCTATATTAAAAAATGCATGCGGCACTGAAGTGCTTCGTAGTGACTTATGCTGAAGACATTTACTATTAGGCTGTAGGATCTGTGGTTTAATCAATGCCATGCCATAGTCTCTCAGCAAAGATAATGCTTTGATTTCCAAATCCATTTAAATCTGAACCTAGTTCTTATCTGTCTGTCAGAAAGTTGGTGTTTTTATGATTATGTATTTTTTTCTGATGAATTATCTACATGTCATCTTAAAGCAGCTGTCTTCTTCTGTTTTTGTCAGACTGCAACACCCTGATCCTGGGTAAAAGGGTTGCAGAAGTGGCCGACTACCTCGAGCAGCGGTGCCACTGCGGTATTTCTGCCTTGTACCTCCAAGGTGAGGCACTTTTTCCTCTGTGTAAATTAAAATGGTCTCTCCTGGATGATTTTCAAAGAAAGGGTATATTTGCCTCATTCTTCTGCTCTAAGAAGGGGTACGCTTGTTCAAAGCAGTAGTGGCTCAGGAGGGAGACACTAACTCTGAACAATCAACACCACGCAGTTGGTTGCAGTTACTATGGTGTTGTAGGGGAAGGGGTTGTACTTCAGCTGAGAGAACAAATCATACAGGGTTTGTTCCAGAGGGTTTATTTAACTTTGATTGTAACTGTTTTGTACAATAAATGTAACTATGAAATACTGCAACAGACAGAGAACAACACCAAACTGGAAGAGTTGTGTGAAATATTCAGTAATAGGGGGGTTTCAACCCTACCTGAACTTGGTTCATGTAAATGGATTTGTATACTATTCTCACTCTAATTAGCTGATAAACTTTGTAAAGGCAGGTTTAGTTTACCATTCAAACCTTAAATTCAAAATGAACTATTCATTCAGAATTTATAAAGAATAAAACAGACAAAGAAAAACCCACCTATATCCACTAGGAAAACAGAAATGTACAGTTGGAAGAAAAAGTGTGTGAACCCTTTGGGATTACTTGGATTTCTGCATGATTTGGTCATAAAATGTGTTTTGATCTTTATACAAGCCACAACAAAAGACAAACACAGTCTGCTTAAACTAATATGGCACAGAAAATGATTTTTTCATGTTTTTATTGAATCCAATCCAGAAAAAATGCATTCAATCCAGCAAAGAATCCACTGTAGCCAACAACAAAATGTCCAGAGTCCAAAATGTCCAGAATCCAAAATGTCTGACATAACACAAACTCCAATAGTTTGAACATGCCAATCTCAAACATATTATCGAACTTTATATAGGAATGTGGCCTTATATATTATAGCACCATCTTCCTCTCCGTCATCCTCGCTTCAGCCTGTCCCTTCAGCCACGTTGTTCTTATCAGTGATAATGGCCCTCTCTCTGAATAGCAAAGTGAGGTTTGAGAGCCTGGCCTTGTTCATGCATGCCCAGAGATAGATAGATTCATTTCAGGCGGCTGAAACTGCGTTCAGCATTTGCATTGGTGAATGGTTATGTTAGTTAAATATGATACAAAATACCGATGTTGGGGAATGCCCTTTTCATATCGTTGCAGATGATAAACAGCTTCTGTGGTGTTGAGCTTTATTTTTAGTTCCCTTTACATGTTTTTTTTTTTTCATTTTTTTCTCCTTGGGAGACCTTCGTAACTGTGTGCCTGGGGCAGCCACATTGGTAGGTGTTTATTGGGCTAGTTTTTAATTAAAGAAATAATTGAATAATAATTTTCCTCAAGGAAATTCTGCATTTAATAGAAAAGGTTACAGACTACTAAGTTTGCTTGCTCTAGGGCAGGGGTGGGCAATCATGTGCCATGGAGGGCCGAGAGGCTGCAGGTTTTCTTTCCAACCCAAAACTGCACCAGGTGATTTCACTGATTAGTCCCTGCTCTCTGCTTGGAGGTAAGGTAATCAGTGAAATCACCTGGTGGAGTTTCGCGTTGGAAAGAAAACCTGCAGCCTCTCGGCCCTCCATGGCACATGATTGCCCACCTCTGCTCGAGGGAGAAAAAGGTTGAACTACCAAAGTGTTTGAATTCATGGTCACCATGGAGATGTAGAAGATTAAGGATATGAGTGCTCAGCTGGATGTATATTTATTTCACTAAGTGTGTTTCAAGCATGAAGGTCCATTTAAGTTACCAGTAGCTGTAGGACATCTGTAATAAAAAAAATATATATATATATTAAAGCAGAACTTGGCTGTAAAGCTCATACGCATAGAGGGATAACCATTGAGAGAAAAACAGCCCTCTTTTTTTTCAAACTTTCATGTTGTGTAACCTTTAAATTAAAAGCCCTCTGCAAAATGTCCGGAGGAGGAATACATGCAGATAATGGATATGTTTTCAATTTTCTGTGGATAGGAGCCAATTTTTCCTGTGTATCCGGATGGCTGCGGGTGTGGGGGAACATCCAGGCGCTATCGGCCCATCAGAAGGCCCTTATTATTCAGACGTCACACATGAGTCTTCCTTCTGCTCAGGGAGACCTCTGCTCCACTCCGTCTAAACAACGCTATACAAGCACAGGTCAGTGTTCTTTAACCTCATGATAAAACTGCTGCACTCTGACAATGAATACACAAGTTTTAAAGATTTAAATCTTGGGAGCCACTTAATAAATAAATAAAATCAGAGTTTGAAGTGTTCCGTAAAAAAAATAAAAATATTCATTATTAGTATTAATTTGAAAAATATTATTCATACACAAGAGTATGAATACACTTAATTTTATTTTCCCACATATTTAATGCTTTACAGATAGATTGTACTTTTACAAGCTTGTTCGATATGAAGACAAAAATAGACATGCTTTTATATCAGCTACAAACACACCTGACCTCCCTACTAAAGTTGCAGACTTGTAAGCAGGAACAAAATGTGCAAATAAAAATGATAAAAAACCTTGCAGTGGAAAACTCTGAAACAGATATTCAACAAGTTATAATTCTGTATTAATTTGAGATAATAACCTCCATAGATGGAGACCATGAGTGAAGAAATATTCAAACTATAAACCCACATTGAAAAAGTTTGTGTGGGAAAGAAGAAAAGAAAATGGAAGAAGGTGCTCTTTGTTGGGGAACGCAAATATTCAGTCAGCAAAGAAGACTGGGCACTCTTCCAGAAATAAAGCAACAGGTTGTTTTTACTTTGAAAGGTGAATTGCTAAAAGCATAGACAACTCGTGGGAAAAAACAAGCAGAAGAGTAAATTGCAATGTATTTTAAAGATGATTCAATCTTACCTCAAAAACGTGTTGCAGCAAGAAACAGTCAGTGTTTCATCAAATTCCCAGCCCGCTGTTTTTAAACATGAGAGAAGCAAGAAGACGCAAAGAAAATGAGATTTTATATCAAGAGCTGGAGGAAGAGCCTGAACATCTACATAATCTTATTACAACTTTATACAGTGAATCGCATTTTTGAAACTCTACCCTCAACCTGAAATGAAAAAAGCTGCCGCTGAAGGAGTCTACTTTTCAATTTCACTTACAAGAAAAGCAGTTTTGAAATTGAAAAATAAAATGTAAAACTAATGCTGGAGAGCGTGGAGACAAAACTTCTGCAAAGTATCCATATTTCGAGATACAAGTCTTGAATTTCTCTTATACTCTGTTGTACTGTGACCCTGCTAAACAGCTGAGACAACCACACAATATAAATTGCATCTCATCAGGTCTCTTTTACGATCATGACGCACTTGTGCTTTATAAAGTGTGCTTTTGAGGATTTGAATGCTTGTTTCTCATAATCTTTCAGAATATGTGACTGAGTTTTTGTTTAACCCTTCCAGCGTCCGCCCTGGGGTTACAGATCGGCCTGATTGTAGCAGTTCTCCTGCTGATGGGACTTGGAGCTGCTCTGTTCACATATTTCTACAGGAGGAGGTGAGACGGCTTTTTGATTCTCATAACTTCCTTTTTTCAGCCACATGTTGACATTGATGTTAACAACAAGGGCTCTATTTTCGTGTCCACTGGCAACGCGGTGGAGGGTGGTGGACCCCGCGCAGTGGTATTTTCATCTGGCGGAGCCCAGTGTACAGCCAGTTTGGTATTTCCGTGGACTGAGGCGCACTGAGGTCCGCCAAGCTGGGCGTGGTGGTGTGGCAGGGGGAGTTGTCGACAGAATCAGCTGGCGCAGTGACATTTTCGTGCTCGCCGCCGGCTTGTAAAGTGCGCTGAAAGCTCGCCGATTCAAACCTGGTCAGCTTTCAGCGCAGGCAGAGCGCAGCTGGTCTAGAGGTATTTTGGTAGACCGGCAGTGTATCGGCATACGTCACTGATGACTCACCGGCAGGTTTCCACAATGTCAGGCACATTTCAGTGCAATAAATAATCATCAACTACTATTAATCTGAGTCAGCACATACATTTAGATCTATATAGATGTATTCTGATCTATAACTGATCTGATGAACGCATTTGGCACGCATTTGGACACACAACCTGACTAAATCAACACAGCTGAAACCGCATTAAATTAAATTAAATATCTAATAAATAGACACACATGATGAAGTTAACAAGATATGTAATTCGTCTCCCTCCTTTTCTGTCTTCCTCTTCCTCTTATATCACGCGCAGCTCGACCTGGACATGTCTCCGTGTCCTCTCTCCGTCCTGCTCCAGCTGCAGCGGCTGAACAGATGATTTGTTTCAGCGCTCAGATGCGATCTACTTTAAGCCGACATACGGATATTATAATATTCAGTTTTGTGGGCCAAATTTATTTTATATGCCAACATCTATGAAAGAAAGAGCCAGGCCACAGAGCGCAATGCGTCATTTAAGCACAGATGGTTCCGATTTTAATGCCATTTTTGGAGTTTATGTTGTGATCTGTGCGCTCAACCCACCTTTGTCACGTGAGGTCTGAATATGAGCAACTTTATGTTAGTGTCTTTATTTGTGGAAATGGATGTTTGTCTTACCAGTGGGTCCAAACTTAGAGAGAGTGTGAAGGACGCCCTCTGCAGCGCTTACAGCAACACTTGTTGAGGAGCTGCCTTCTGTCGCCATCGTGTGGCATTACTGTCTTCAGACATCTCTTGATCTCTTTGACTACTTCACGAAAATTTTAATGCGCCTCGCTGGTGGCGGGTTTAAAGGCGAAGAGTGGAGCTCATGTTATTGGTCCATACAGGTCTCCACGCCCTCTCTCCTCCCTCGCTACGACTTACGCTGCTTGGAGGAGCTGAGTTAGTGAGGGGGGATACTTATGACGGGCTGCGCCACTCACCAAAATACCAAATTGTGCTTAGGAACGCCTTGTTGGCGCGGCGGACCTGACTTACACCTCGCATGCGCCATGTCTCCTGCGAAGCACAAAAATAGAGCCCCAAGTCTTCTTGAAGCCAGGTAATGAACAGAATGGCTGATTGCAATCTCTTGTCTTTATGACACTTTGAGTAAATAGGACGTTGAAAAATAAAAGCCTGTAATTAAAATTAAATTAAAAGCCTATAACATCCTTGCAATTGTCTCCTCTCAAATCCACAGTGACAAGTGCTGACAGTAGTTATTTAGAAAAGCCTTTTCAGAGAAGGAAATGAAAACACAGCAGTCTGCAGTGTTGAAGTGCATGAAAGCTATTAAAATGTATTGCAGAAAAGATGTCTTTGTAAAATTTAAAGAAAAGGCCAGAATAGGGTAATCTACTGCTCTTTTTGAAGTTTTCTGCCATCTAACATTAAATAGAGGTTACTATCATCGAGATTGATTTCTAGATATCAAATGCAAGGTAAACATGTAAGGGAGCTGTTGGGAAGGTTCTGACCTGTGACTTAAACTTGAAGCAAATATTTTCAGGGCAAAGCATCAGTCTGATCAAAGTCCTTAATCAGATCCCTTCTCCCATTGTCAGAGGATGGGATTCAGGTATAAATTGGCTCAAAGCTGTAGTCTTGACATCCGAGTTAAACCAGGCTGAACAGTTTTGCTAGTTTTGGTGAGCTGTTTCCCTCCGTTTACAGTCTGTACAGTAAGATATGCTGACATGCTGCTGGCTGTATCAACCCTTACAAACTGAGGGACATTTTCAAGCATCATAATCCTACAAGAAGTTTTACAACACATTAAAACTCAGAGCTTTACAAAGCGTACTAGAAAAATTTTATGTAGTGCTGTTATTTGATTGATTTGTAATGCCATTCGGGTCATTATTTGCCAGTAATTACACTTAAAGTTATCAAGTTAAGCCAGTTCCTACCAGTGTCTTGTTTTGGGAATCAAGTGACTGCAGTAAAAGTTCTCTGCGATGCTTACTTTTTGATTCATCATTCAAATAAAGCTTTACTGCTTCACCAATGATCCCATTAATATGACATCCTTTCCATTTCAGGAGTTTCAGGAGTTTGATTTGGACTGGCCTACAGTCAGTTTCCACTTATTTAGCAAGCGCTCTACCTCACTTTTTTGATTTAGTTTAATCCGCAGGTCTGTACCAGTTTACAAACTCAAAAATAATGCTCTGCTCACTAGGGCTATGATGCTGATAGTGATAGCCCTAGTGTTAAACTGGAATCACACAGTGGACTTTAATCAGTGTCAAAATTAGCAAAATTAAGATTTAATACAGGGCCACCTTGAGGCCCTGATCATTTTAATTATGCTGCGATCAGGTCTGTTGGATCCTCTGGCTCTTTTAAAATGCTAATGTTCACAGTGTTGAGAATAAGAATAACACACCATATCAAAGCAAACAACATGCATTTGAGGTACCAAATCCTCTATACGCTCTTTCTTATCTGTGATTCCTTACAGCAAAGTTTATCGCACAGTTTCATCTTGAATGAACAGATCAACCTTTTTTTTTCAAAAGTGTGAAATGTCATCAGTAAATACCAGGTTTTGGTGTCAGACTGCAGCTCAGCATTTAAAGCCAGACCTTTTGTCTCATCTTAACATTTCAAACCAACACAGGAAAGTAGGTTCATAGTGGCTGTCACATTTTATGCTGATGTGTTTGTACAGCTGAGTAATAAATAAGTACAGGCTGTTCTGGAAAATGGAGCAAACTACAGATTTGATTTGTGAGAGCAGAAAACATAGGTTGAGGGCAGACGGAGTGGGAACAAACAGAAGGTGAATTTTAAAACCGAGTCAGCTGCCCAGAATATTTTGAAAATGAGCAATAGGACACTGAGACACATTGTGTATATATCTAAAGGATATAAAATCTGATATGCGTATATGTGGTTTAATCAGAACTGATGCCTTTGTTTTCAGGCGTCCTCTGGACTATTACACCATGGAGCTGAGCGAGCATGCGGAGGGACTGTCAGATCTATAATCCAGATTTTGGATTACTGCACTTGCACCCCGAAGTGTTCTTGTGTGTGGGAGGATCCTATGAAAGAGACAGAGGGACAGTGATAATGAGAGATCTGTTTTAAAAAGGAGTTCCGCCACAAGTGTCCTTCTCTGTGTCTTGAGAAGATCACAGCTAAAATGACTCGACCTTGTCTAATAACAGTGTGGTTGCATCACATCACCGGTGACAAGTCATCAAATAACAACAGACAACCCAACAGAGGAATTTTAAAGATATATAGAGAATGTCATATTTTTATAAAGGATGGTGCCTGTGAACAGTGCTGGTTACTACTTTGAAAAAAAAAAGAAGGAAGATAAAAATCAAGGGATTTGTTTTATGTATTTTAATCTTACATGGTCGTTATTTTGTCGACTTGTTCTTGTTTCTTGGGGATGAAGCGATAACTCCAGGGTCAGTTGTAATTACTTCACATAAAGGATGATCTAAATAAGATGAAAAGTGAATATGCACTTGCAGTGTTTTGCCAACATAAAAGATTCCTGGGCGGATCGCCAAAGTAATCTGCCAACCATTTAGGCTTTTTTTTTTAAAATCTAAATATGATTGACATCCACTGTTGATAAACAGGAGGACAATCTCTCTCCCTTTCTACTCCTCGTGTATATGTAGTGTCTCCATGTCTGCCCTGTAGATGATGGGGAGAGAAAGAGACTTATCAGACGTTATGACAATGTAAGAGCCTGCGCCTCTCTAGGATGAGCTTTTATATTTTATTGCTTTAACTACTGATTGGTCTTTTAGCTGTTTACATTTCCTTTTCAAACCGAACAATCTGGCATAAGTATTTGTGCATCCTTCCTGAGGCAGAACAAAGGCAGAACAAAATAGTTGAGTATCACGTGGCCGTCTCTATTCCAAGGCTCAAACATGCACTGAATTACATCTCTTAAGGATCTTTGAAAAACTGTATCATGAACTCAGCAGCATGACGCATGTGGTACAATGACTGGAGTGTATTGAACATCCCTGCTTGTTGCTGAGGGAAAATCCTAGAAAAGATCCAAATTGAAACGACCTTCAGACTTCAGACTCATGCAGGAAGCTCTATCAGCAAGGGTTCTGACAGATCTTTCAATGATAATTAAAATAGTCATGTTCACATTTTCTTCAAAATGATCAACTTCCTGCTTTTTTTTCCTGCTATATGCTGTAAAAGTCAATTTTAGACTCTTGTCACTTAAGGGTCCGACTGTCTTTAAATGTGAAAATGTTTTGCTAACTTCTGATGAGTGTATGTAACCACTTCTGTGTGCACATTTTAAACAAACTGTTTACATTTTGTTGATGGTAAAAAAAAAAAAAAGGATCCCAGAGACTGATGTAGAAGTGATTTTTTTTGAATGAAGATTATTTTTAGAAATGAGCGACTGTTTTGTGTAGAAAATGAGAGCTAATGTATGTTCCACTTTTCAAATGGCTCAGAAATCTCTACTTTGTGTTTGTGTTGTTTAATTCCTCATTTATAAAGGGGAAAGAGCAGCTATAGCTGCAGCATGAGTATAAATATACAATGGAAACTGTGTCATTGCGAATCCTGAATAAATACTTACTGTTGACATTTGTATATTAATTGCTGGGGTTAGAAAAAATTTTGAAATAAGTGATAGGTTCACCTCCACTTTTGAAAGCAGATAATTAAAAAGGTTCACCTTAAATGTCATGATAAAATCACCAATGGAAAGTGCCATGAAATGAACATACAGGTACATCTAAAAAAATTAGAATATCATGAAAAAATTCTATATTTTTTGTCACTCATTTCAGAATGTGAAACCCATATATTATACAGATTCATTACACATAGAGTGAAACATTTCAAACATTTATTTCTTGAAATTTTGATAATTGTGGCTTATAGATAATGAAAACCCAAAATGCAGTGTCTCAAAAAATTAGAATATTGTGAAAAAGTTCAATCTAGAAAAGTCATGGTGTCACACCATAATCAACTAATTAAAACACCTGCAAAGGTATCCTGAGCCTTTGAATGGTCTCTCAGTCTGGGTCAGATGGCTACACAATCATGGGAAAGACTGCTGACTTGACAGATGTCCAGAAGACAATCATTGACACCCTCCACAAGGAGGGAAAGCCACAAAAGGTAATTGCTAAAGAAGCTGGCCGTTCCCAGAGTGCTGTATCCAAGCATATTAATGGCAAGTTGAGTGGAAGTAAAAAGTGTGGTAGGAAAAGGTGCACCAGCAAAAGGGATAACCACAGCCTTGAGAGGATTGTCAAGCAACATCCATTCAAGAATTTGGGGGAGCTTCACAAGCAGTGGACTGAAGCTGGAGTTTGCGCATCAAGAGCCACTACAAAATTTCAAGAAATAAATGTTTGAAATGTTTCACTCTATGTGTAATGAATCTATATAATATATGGGTTTCACATTCTGAAATGAGTGACAAAAAATATTGAACTTTTTCATGTTATTCTAATTTTTTGAGATGTACCTATAAGCTTGGGTTTTCTCCATCCTATAAACCCTGGATATGTTGCTTTTCTGGTAAAGTTGCCTTACTCATCTGCTGTTTCTGCACACACCTTCACTTTGTCTGCTTTGATTAACTCTTTGATTTATGCAGCCTTGACCCTAGCAAATTAACCCTTTACAATCTGTTCTCAACTTTGAAAACGCACTTATTTCAAATAGTTTCAGTCCTTTATGTGTTTTTTAAAGTGAGCTACAACAATGCTTTGTGGTGTTTATTACATGTTTTCTATTGTAAACTTGTTCTGTTTGAGCTTATTGAGAGTTGGTACTAGGTATCAACAGGAGGTAGAAGAGGCCTCCTGAAACAAAAGTTGACATACAAATAGAGTAGCTCTTGTATTAAATGAAGAAGCTGCACATGCACTGAACACATTTTCCTAGAACACATCTGCTCAGAGCGCCTGCTTAACATAAGAAATTACAACCATCCCTACATACACCTTATGAATGTGCAGCATGCTGACAGAAATGATACAAAAAAACAAATACATGGTTGGGTGGCAGCAGTTTCTTTTTACTCTTGGTGCAGATACCAGAGGAGCTGCAAACTCTCCAAACTGGCCTTTGTAAGTCATCTTTTCATAGTTTATTACCGCTGAGGATTTATACGGTGAACTTGAAAAAGACCACAAAAACACTCTGGGTTATCTGAATCATCTGCTTGTTTTTTTTAAAAGCTTTTCTTCCACTGTATATTTAGTTTATTTTGTCCACCAATGCCATGCACATGTAACAGGTTTGAAATAAAAGTACCTCCACAAAGGTGTGTCACTGTTTTTTTTTGTTTGTTTTTTAACCTGTTGGATTGTTTGGGCCCATTCCTGATCCTGAATTAGATTAGATTACAAAAGGAGTGGTTTGGGTTGGTGAGAGCCTCAAAAGTTTGGGACTAAAGCAGAAAGAAGTTGGCAGCCACAGAGTCACAGAGGAAGACAAACTTCTTTTTTAAGTAAAGTCCATCAGCCAGGTGGGAGGCCATGTTTTGACAGGAAAGAGTGACCTTTTAAAGATCCCTCGGGTCAGACTGAGCTTTCCCACCCCAACCAGTGTGATTTTATGGTGTGCCTCAGAGGAAAACTGTGTGTGAAAGAGAGTCTCCACCATTTCCTGTCACTGACTGCAGGACTGACTATTGGCCCAGAGCTGCTACAGGTGGCAGCATGTCAAGGGGCTGAGGATGAAAGTAGGCAATCAGAAAGCCCCAATGCTCCCAGGAGCAGCATGTCTAGTTTGTACCAGGACAAGCAGGGCAGACCTGCAACATACTGAGGGAAACATCCTTCTTGGCCAAAGGGACTGACTGATCAATGAAAGCAGATCTTGACAAGTCAGAACAAGGCTCCTCCACCAGGGCTGTAATGACATCAGATGTCCACCTCACAGTTATTATGGCCAAAAATAACTAAGGTGTAAATATTTATGAAAAACTTGGGAAAAAAGCAACACTTTCAGCCATGTGTTTTCTGCTCAATGATAAAATATTGATTGCTCAAGGCTGTGGCTCTGTGGACTACTTAGATGCATGTGCCCATGCATTCGCAATCTATACATCTTGTCAATCCTGTCACCTTAGGGATCTGTACATAATTTCTGTAGAGGAGACAGGGTTGCTGGTTGAAGCTGTGGCTTATGACTCTGCTGACCCACAACACACCACTGCAGGCCCCTCTGATGATGGACCAGGGTCGAGTTAGGGCAGCCTGACCAGTATGCAGCTACACAACCTCACAGGTTCGATATTGTGATGTGTGTCACTTTTCTGACATCTTCCAATAAGAACCAGCTTTTATATTTCCGGCTGTTTGAGCTCCAAAAGCTCTTCCATTGGATCGGACAACATGAAACAGTTTTCACCCTGAACATACATCAGCCTTGGCCACCCATTAGCTTTTCACCAGTTCCCCAGTTTTTTCTACCTCGAATGGCCTCTTCTGGCTTTTAACCTTGCCTATTTTACCTCTAGCACATCAAGTCTGAGGACAAAATTTTGACTTGCTGCCAAATTTTCCACATTGACAGGGGATAAAAACCAGATTCACATCACTCTTAAGGGGTTATGTTTTGACTGATTTGATTAGTGTACGTGCTCTGATCCTCCTTAACTGCACACAAAAATCTGCATCTGCCGTCATTAAGATGTATCTCAGGTTTATGCTTTCCTTCGTGCAGCAGCATTCACTGCAAAAATGAGCAGCACCCAAAATAAAAACCATAAAGCGTGTCAGAAACTCTCAGGCTTTTTACAGATGCCACATTACGTGCTTGAGAACAAAGCTTATATTTTTTCTGCTCACAGTTCGACCTGCTAACCGCAACACAGGAAGGCAGATAAGAGACAGACAGGAAGGAGCTGCAGCATGAAAGAGTTCTTGAGGCGACAGTGCAAACGAAAAATGACTAAAGCTGCTGTGTTTTTTGTGACTCGTTTCATTTTTCTATCATAACCTTGACTGGAATAACTCATCTAAGTTTCTTCTGATCTACACTTGGAATTATCCTACACCTGCTTTCCTTAGGACCATGGAGTCAGCAGAGAAAACATCTGCATGCGAAGCATTTTACATCTTTTAATACTCAGTGACAACTTCAACAAGCCCCTGGTAAGTTAACGGACTTCTGTGTACCATACTTGACTTTTTTGTGTCACCAGAAGTTTCAAATGCGAACTTTTCTTTTATTTCATGGCTCTGAATGTGAGTCTACTCCAAAGGCCAATGACAATTCCTTCAAGAAAACAAAGTTAATGGACTCTTACTCACTTTGACATGTGTTACAACACAAGCTGAATGCAGTCAGGCATCAGGCTTGATACTGTTACATAAAACATGACAAATGAGACTACAGACAATTGAATTCCCCTTTGAGGATAAATACAGTTATTCTTATTCTTATATATTTTTCTTTGCAGAGCAAGTTTCATTTGCATGCCTCTTTCATTTCTGTGTTTGAAGCATGTGTTTCTGCTGACGCTTTAAGTGACATTTTACAAACTTGTGATTCTGTCCTCACCAGCATTTTGGTGGTTAAGCAACTTTTTAACTGTTTGACACTTTCCACAACACATTCTATCTCCAGCGATCGGTTGTTAACACATGGTTTGGGCCGTTCAGACACAGCAAATATATAACTGTCAAGAGCACACCAGGGGTGTCTCTGTCAACTTCCCCGAGGAGGTTTTACGTGACCAACCAACCACACAGGAAGCGTGTACGATTTCCCGTTAGTCTTAGTGAAACCTCAAACAGAATTAAATTTAAAATTTATGTTTGCACTACTTTCACCTCAGTTCTACTGATACACGGTCATGGTGATAAACTAAAATTACAACACAATACAATAATAGAACTTTATTTATACCCAAAAGTAAAGTAGTTAAATTGCAGATAAACTAAGTTGTGACCTGACCTGCCCAGTGGTGGTCAGACAGTTTCAGCTTCTTTGACGTTGGCATACAGTAGATCCAGGGTTTTGTTTTCTCTGGTAGGACGATTAACAAACTGTGTAAACCCAGTCAGCTAAGGGGAGAGAGTGAAATGACTCAAGGCTCCTGATATTTTTATAAGTGCCTCAGGATGTTGAGCCTGTATCCTAGCAACAATGTAATGGAGAACATCATACAGAACTTAAGCTGTTGCCTTGGAACATAATGTGGCTGAAGAGCAACTGCCAACAGATCAATATCTGGACAACACAACTTCTCCTTGACAGTTAAGCGTGACGGGTTACACCATCTCTGGTTAACAAATAAAGCCAGACCCCCACCTACCTTATACATTATCTAAAGATCTTGCATATACAGCAATTAGTTTGCATTATTTTCTTAAAGTTAAACTGTATTAAGTCAAGTCAGTGAGAATGAAGGGTGTGTGGATTGTTTGTTATTCAAATAAAGACTGTGATCGAGATTTAAAACAATGGCACCCTTAAAGCCCTGAACACAATAGCTCAATCACAACTTCATATATTTTTTTTCCTTTTTTTCATAAGACGTCTTTTCAGTGCTGTGTGGGGAGGCAGAATTTTCTTTTATTAACAACAGGCATGCTGCTCTCTATGTATGCATTCAGGATTTCTAATTGCTCATGCACAAAATGAATTACGGAAACACTCATCTCTTCCTGGAGGCCTGTGTTTTTGTCTGTGTGTGAGTGTGAGTCCTGCAGGTCCAGCAGGCTACTGAAGGAGGACAGATAAAACTCTTTTTCATTCATTTCAGTGTCTTAATCCTGTGTCGATATCTTAATGGTAAAGGCATATCGACATTTTTAAGAAACTGCTAACAGCACAGAAAACTAAAGCAGTGTATGATTTGAGAATGAAATGAACTTCGAGAGCAGAGAAAAGAGTTAATCTAATAGTTCTCATTTCTAATACAGACATGATTGGCTGTATGAAGCGTACCCTCCAGTATATCATAACAACTAAAATGACTTTCACGATAAACACAGTAGAGCTGGAAATCCTTAAATGTTTATCTGACACTAATAACAAAGCTGAGCTGCACGGCCAGGCACTCTCATTTAAAGGTGCGTCATGTCCAAAAATAACTACGGGCTATCAGCGTATGATTGTGAGACTGAGCAGAAATTTCTCTAACAGAGCTGCCTCATTGAAAACTCAAATAGATCCTGCCATTACCTGTGATTTGAGCCACTAATGCTACATTGGCCTTTTGAGTGCAAACTTGACATCCAGACAAGATATCAACTCTGTTATGAATGAGTGTCATGACCATTTTCTTGTTGCACTGATGTCTGAATAACATTGTTCTGTTTAGGTACACAAACAAGAGAGTCGGAGGGCAGAACTTGTGAGACTTTCTCATGGAGAGGAGAGAATTGTACGACTCTATCCTGGACCGAAGCAAACGCATAATGTGGCAGGACGACTGCTACGTGGATCTTCAATCTACATCTTCCTCTGTGTCTTCACAAACTGAAACTAGAGGTAAAATATGATAAAGTATCACTTACTGTCTTCTCGTATGGTTTCAAATCTGCGCCTGTCCTCTTTGTTGTCGTTTTAAACCAAAACCACGACTCTAAAGGATGGGTTTGAGAATAATGGCACAAACGGTAAAGCTTGAGCCAAGATGGGGACACACAGAGAAACAAAGACAAATGTGGGCAATAAAACTGGTTGTAACAACAACAACAACAACATTGCAGGAGATCTGATACTTTGACATTATTATCTATGTGGTTTAAATTAAACTAAGTCATATGCATTCTGCTTTTCCTATCTTGACTACAGCCGTGAGATAAAAGAGCATTCCGATTTACCACAGGAGCTGTCAGTAGCAAAATAAGATGAAAGAAACAGGATGAATCAAAGTTTGTCAGGTCATCCAAATGTCATCTAATTATGAAGGAAATGTTCTTAAAAACATACTCTTTTACAATAATACAAGCGAGAAAGTGGTTTTGAGTGAGCCTCTTTTAGTTCTAGTTGAAGATTTTATTTCTGTCATGATAAAAGGAGTATTTTTGTGGCCACTATTGAACAAGATTTTGTAGCAGAAGACCTGTTGAGAAAATAAATGGAGACGCTGGCTCAATAAAACACTCCTGAACAAAAACAGCATGTGCAAAAATGGCTGTTATGTGGGATTAAATTAAAGTTAGCTCTGAATAAAGAAAAAAAAGGCTGTGTTTTATCGTTAAGGCTGAGTAGGGGTCAAATCCCACAATGCTCTGCTCTTTCACTTAAAAAGAAAATGCACGTTTAACTCTAACTGTTAATGTTGTGGGAAAAAATGTTAAGGGCATCTGCAACATACGGATAAAGTAATAATTCTGAAAGCTGGAGCAATTGTTTGTGACCATCACTTAGCTACCGTGAATTACAAAGTGTGACACATCACTCACCACATCCGCTGAACACTTTCCCGGGAGGTCCCCGATACTGTTACAGGTGTGTTAGTGGCATGATTTTTATTTAAGACAAATGGTGATGAAGAAAATAACAAACACTCCAAAAAGAAACTCTTAAATGGACTCTCCTTTCACTTATAAAGGCGCGGTAAGGAAACATTTTGACTAAATTTGGGTTATAATCTGAAAGTCTAAAGAGACTAGAGGGACTTGAAGGTGCCACTAACAGTGTGTTTCAGAAGCACCGATGGTAATTGCAGGTATTAATAAGTACTTGGACACTTAAAGCAAGCTGTGATCCGTGACCTGCCATTCCTGTCTTGAGATGTTAACTTTAAAGACTCAACAGCTAATTAGAGCAAGCTTTTAGAGTTTAAAAGGGAGACTGTAAGAACACCTTAACTATGCAAGCTCAGGTTTATATAACCAACAGCCAGTGTCAAGCTCAAAGTTCAGTTCACACCAATTAAAATGAACAAGTTCATGTTCATAGTTCATTCTTGAAATTTTGAACTTAGTTCATGATCCAAAAAAGGAACTAGTTCACGTTATTTTTCTGGTTCAAGTTACTGGAGAGCCATCTATGCTTTAATCCCTCGAGCCAATTCCAGAAATAAGTGAATCACTGTTTGCTATTATAGCACCACAGACAGATATTCAGTTCAAAACCCCTGCAAACAGCACTGTTTGAACTAACTGCAGGATTGGCCATACTGAATGCATGGAGGATCTGAGTTTTGCTGCAGTAAAACTTAGTGCTTGGCATCTCTCTGCACCTTTCGGCACCTCTCAGAATGTGGGCGGTCGTTCCCTGCCTCTGGAGTAAGTAATGCTCACGCTCCCATTCGTGAGTGGTTCAGTTCACCGTTCATGAAAATATGAGTATGTTCAATGAGTGCGTTCATTGTCACTCTTTTATGCACTACACTACCAACAGCTTGTATTTTATATACAATTTTGGCTGAAGCTTACATTTCACATCTAACACCTTGTTTCAAGACTGTAATAATGTTGATACATAAATGAGTCTCTGTGTGCTCCTGAGAGAAAAATATGAGCATAGAAAGCATCATTGATTGTTGTTATCGATTATTGGCTCAATGTTAATATCCCCAGAGCATGAATCAAAGCTGGCTGAAAGAATTTTTCCTTCACAGGGCTGCCTAGGTCATCTCTGGGATCAAATTAAAAATGAATGCCATTTGAACTGTGAAATGTTTAGTCTATAACACTGTTGAAAATCTGATTCACAGGCAAATGGGTGTTTTAGCCATGCTTGAAGTCTGTGAGGCTGCCTCAAGTGCCCTGAGTTAAATGTGAGCATAATGAAGCGTGCTTATGTGCTTAGAAGCAGGAATATAGGTTATGACCAGTAGTGCACATTTGAGCTAATTCAATGAGTAGATGTAATGATAGATTACAGAAAATGTGTTAAATTGGACATGCTGGTATGTGTGAGTGTGCGAGAGAGAGAGAGAGAGAGAGAAAGAGAGAGAGAGACAGAGTTGTTATTATTATTGCTGTTCATTCTCACTGACTTGACCCCAAAAGTTGATGCTAACTTCTCAGTAATCTGCTGTTGCCTATAAATAGTGTTGAACAGCTCAAAGTCAAGGCTTCCTCTTGCATGTGGTGTTTACGTCCAAACATTGCACCCCCCTGAGTTGCACCAATTTATCTGTTTCTGGTGAGTCAGAGAAAGTAAACCACACAGAGGCTTGATTCTAGCCTTCTTGACTCAACGTGGCGATTGACAAACTAAGTTTTAAATTGCAAGTGAAAAGATGGGATGTTTAAAAAGTAAAGCTTTATCAGCGCAGTCCTCCTGAGGGGCAGTAAAAAGAAAAACATAAAAAAGGTCGTCGGCTGAGTCTGTTGACCATTTTTGACAGATTCCACCACTTCTTGGATTTTGTAGCACAATGTCAAGCAGATTTGTTACTCGGTAAAATTTCTGATCTATTGCAGCATTCTTGCTGAGCTTTTATGCAGATATCTGTTCATAGAGATAAATGAATCATCATCAGATCACAGCAGATATAGAGCCTGAATGACTGCGGACTGGGGTAATCCAATAATACCACTGAACAACAACAAGAAGAAATAAACTTCAGATACTGAAAATCCAGACCCCTGAGTAGATATTTTAGGTATTCAGTAAGAAAAAGAGAGGGTGAGGTTGAAACAGGAATAGGATGTGGTAGTGTCTTGCTGTTCAATATAGCAAGCCCCCAAGCAGCTATTTAAAGAAGTAAAAGACTGTTCTTCACAATAACAAATGTTGTGCAACTTAATAGTTGAAATGAAAAAAAAAGGAGGTAGAAATTTAAGTAGAAAATCAATACGTGCTACTTAATATTCATAGATTTCTGAATCAGTGGAACTCAACAGCACCCTTAAGGCAATAACAAAACTTGTTTAATCAAACTGATAGGCTTCTTGTGCACGTTCAGACAACCAATTGCGTCTGTCTTGATGGTAACCTTCATCAGTGCTCAGTTCTCTCTTTAATGAAGTTCAAAAAATAGCTTGAATGAAGAAATAATATCCCTCTCTTCTAGTCTGACACATATTCTGTCACGTATGTCTTCCCTTATCTTAAAAAAGATTACTGAATGATAAATACTTGCTCCACTGATTGTTTCTCAGATCAGTAACAAGGGTGACAGATGGTGGTTTAAGTTTCCCCTGTGCTCTGATCCTTTGTAGATCTTCGTTGGATTCAAAAGAATCAAGACCAGCTGCAGCGTTTTATCACTGCCTCCTTCCTGGATGAGATGTTAACTCATCTGAGACAGGTTGAAGTGCTGACTTCAGCTGAGGAGGCCAAGGTTAGAGAAGCAGGCCAGTTGCAGGACCAGGTTAACATGCTAACAACTATTTTCACTGGAAAAGACAGTCAAGGCTCTGATGCTCTCAGAGGATTCATCGAGAGCTCAGATTCTCAGGTGGCCCAGCTCATCATAAACCATGGTAAGAAAACAAAAAACTTGGTGACACTTGAATAGGTAGGGTAAAGGTCTGATCAAGAAAAATCCCTTAAGAAAAGGTAAATATTGACACTATTCAACTTAAAAAAGATTTTGATGGTTTGCAAAGCATTCAATTCCTGTATCTAATTGATAACAGTGTACAGTACAAGTTAGATAATTTCAATGTTTTGTGAAAATTAGGTGCTTACTTGAAATGATGCTGGCAACACATTTCAAAAAGAGTTGAAGCTGAGACAATAACACTGAAAAAGTGTCTGATTCCTACAGAAGACGAGCTCAGTCATGAATTTTTCTTTTATGTGCTCTTATCTTGTGATAACAACTTATCTCATTATCTCGATATAACAAAGATTGTTTTCTTGTGATAATGGGAATGGCATTTTAGCCAAGCTAAAATAGTAACTTTTAAAAACGCCCTCCAGAGAGGGATATTTCTGATCTGTTGTCAACAGCTAGCAGGGGTTTTCAATGAAAACACTGACATCACACTCCACTTTGTGCATGCGCATTACAATTTTAACATGGGAACATTTAACTGCTATGCGCAAATCGGACAACAGCATGGTGGACACATTATTAATTAATTAGTCATCATGAGAAAATGATCTTTGTTATGTCGAGATAATAAGTAGTTATCAGGAGATAAAAGTGTATTAACAAAAAAAAAAAAAAAAAAGTCCATGGCCGTTCCGTATATTCCAAACCGTGAGGAACAACTCCAAACTAATGAAGTCAATTTGCAACAAGTTAGAGACATAACTATGAAAAAGCAGGTCAACAATCGCAGAATATTGTTTATCTGTTTAAATTTGCAAATAAACAATAAAAAAAACGGTCCATATGAAAAGTCCATGTACAGCCCAAATCAGCACATATTACCACACTGTGGCTCTGGTTGTTAAACTAGCTAAGCAAAAATGGGAAAACTTGTCACTTTCATAACTTCTAGCACAGACCCGTTTGGTTCCCAGAGATTCACTGAATCTTGCTAGAAGAGGAGGTGATGCAGCGTTGTGGTAATAATACCCCAGTCAACTTTTTAATACGTGTCACCTGCATCAAAATTTAAATGCACATATATTTTCATAAAACATGTACTTTTTGTTTTAGTTTTAACATATATGTTGCAACAACTGCTATGCTGTTTTTCGCACTATTTTCATAGGGTTTAATCAAACAGTGAACCACCAAATGTTCTATTTATTCACATTTTACTCCATGTCCCAACTTTTTTGAAATTGGTTTTCTAAAACTTTGGCAACAAAAATTCAAAGACAGTCTATCCAAATGTCTTCTTGTCCTTCCCTGTTTATCCTGCAGATCCCATGGTGACAGCGCACAAAGAGGTGCTGCTCAAAAGAAATGAACAGAACAAAGATCAAGATTCTTCCAGCTGTCCCAAACTAAGCATCTCCTCGAGAACCTTACTTCTGGTTGATGGACTCTCTGACCTCCAGCAAAAAGAACATGACCTAATGCAAGTTGGGGTGACCAGAGGAAGGAAAAGAAATCACCTCAGACAGCTCGGACTAACCAAACTCTTCGAGCCCCTGACTCGGGTTAGCTTACCTCCAAGGGTTTCTGTCACAGTCGGTGTGGCTGGAAGTGGCAAGACCACCTTGGTCAGGCACTTCATCAAACAGTGGTGCCAGGGGGCCATCTGTACAGATGTAAGCTTCATCTTGCCTTTCACCTTTTGTGAGCTGAATTCATTAGAGAAACTCTCAGCGGAGAAGCTGGTGAAAATGGCTTTTCCTCATTTGGCAGACCCTGGTCTGGTCCTGAGCAGCTCCTGTCGGACACTGCTTATACTGGATGGCTTGGATGAATTCCGCTGCACTTTAAATTTCTCTGACGCAGCTCCTTGTAATGACCCCAAGAAAGAGGTGTCCATTGACGATCTTGTTACAAATATCATCCGAGGGAATCTGCTACCTGACGTAGCAGTGTGGGTGACCTCCAGGCCAGGAGTGGCTTCCCTCATCCCTGGAGGATTGGTGGACAGGGTGACCGAGATCCCAGGATTCAGCCAGAAGGACATCCAGCTCTTCCTAAACCACCACTTCTCTGAGAAGGATTATGCTGGTAAAATATGGGCGCACTTGGAGTCACATAGAACCTTAATGGTGATGTGCCACATCCCTGGCATCTGCTGGATAGTAGCTGACACTCTGATGTATATCATGCAGAGTGAGACACAAGAGAGCCTTCCAAAAACTTGCACGGAGATGTATGCTCACTTTTGCTCCATGAAGGCAGAAATGGGAGAACCGAGAGGAAGGGAACCTGTAAAAACAGAGCAGCATGGGAACAATCGTAAGCTGATGGGCAACCTGGGACGGCTTGCATTTTATGGGCTTCTCAAACGCAAGTACACCTTCAGTGAGCAGGACCTCAGGGCTTATGGGATAGATCTACTGTTAACTCAGTGTAGTCTTGGTGTTGGAGTGCTTATCCGGGAGGAGTCTGCCATATACACAACGTACCGATTCACCCATTTGACTCTACAGGAGTTTCTTGCGGCTTCTTTCTACCATGTCTCCTCCAAGCGAGCCATCTTTGATTTGTTCTCAGAGAGCACCATGTCTTGGCCAAAGATCGGCTACCAGAACCACTTCAGAAGTGCTTTTCAGCACTCCCAACAAGCTGGAGATGGTCACTTGGATGTGTTCGTGCGCTTCCTGACAGGCCTGCTTTCTTCAGTTGCACAAAGACCTCTAGCTGGGCTCCTGGCCCTCGGGAAAGATGATGGCAGTCAGAGGGCTTGGGCGGCAGGGTTTCTACAAAGCCTCTTGGTCAGCGGTGGTGCTGTGGTGTCCCTGCGTGCTGTCAACTTAGCTTATTGTTTACAGGAGCTGCAGCATACAGAGCTGTTGCGGAGTGTAGAGGAGGACTTACAGCTTGGCAGTCTGGCAGGGAAGTTGACAAGAGCTCACTGTGTCGTTCTGGGCTACTTACTCCATGTGTCACCAGAGTGCAGCGAACAAACCAACCTAACAAGCTCTCTTACCTACTCGACAGTGAAGTGTTTGCTCCCACAGCTGCTGTACTGCAGCCATCTCAGGTTAGTGGCATCACATATTGACCAAACCAAGTACTCAGGCAAAAGACAAGGTTGAACTGAAACCTCATCTGCTCCACAGGTTAGAGAACAATAACTTCAAAGATGATGTCATGGAACTACTTGGAAGCCTCCTGAGTGCCAAAGACTGCCATATACAAAAGATTAGGTGAGATCATTCCCTTTTCAGAGCCTTCGGGTAAAAGTATAATAATCCCCCAGGGTTCAGGCCTGATTGTTCACTGTAATTGTTCACTGTAATTATGAATAAGTGCCAGTCCTGCTGCGTCCTACAATTAAAAGAACATAGATTATCGCGTACTTTAAGGACTTGAAGATAATAAATGTGATTTTCCTTTTTTTCCCTTAAGTTTGGCAGAGAATAACATCAGCGGCAAAGGAGCCAAAGCCCTGAGTCGAGCCCTGTTGGTCAACCGGACACTTTCTTCCCTCAAGTGAGATCCCTTTTTGACTTGTTGCAGCTAAATAAAGTGAAATCTGTTCACCCTTTTCCTGCACTGCACTGCGCTTAGCCTGGACAGCCTCAGCTTAGCCTGTTGGGCTGATTTTTATTCAAAGAAGTGTAAATTAGTCTCATGATCCAAGAAAAAGGCAATGAAATTTTATTGGTGATAATGATCTAATCACCACACAAACCATAGTTATTGACTACCTTAAGTTCTTTTAGATTTGTAAATATAGCCAAACATAAAAATAATTCCACTTGGACTATTAGTGACGGTTACGGTTCCCTGGTCGTCCTTCTGATACTCACACCTGTGTGACAGCTGGCTGCTTGTAGTTCCCACCTTTTGGAATCATCTAAAGTCAGCATATGGCTGTCCAACTGTTTCATTCACTGTTTCCAAAATTCCCATGGTCCTTCTGTGATGTTTGCCCCTTGCTGTTCATCCTCAAACCATCATTTCTTTATGTAGTCTCAGGAACAACAATATAGGCTCCAAAGGTGCAAAGTACTTGGCTGAGGCTCTGAAAATGAACCAAGTTCTGGTATCAATAAAGTGAGTATAAATGTCATATTTTGGTGATTGCAAATACTGGCTCAGTGTCTGTGTAATTGCTTAATTATTCAAACCACACATCAGTTTCCAGAACAATGCCATAGAAGAGGAAGGTGCTCAGGCCCTTGCAGAAGTACTGCAGTGCAACCGCAAACTGGTGTCTCTTAAGTGAGTTGCTGACCTTCTAGCCTTTTATTTCCTACTTCTGTGTTTGTGTATACTGTGTGCACATGTTGACATGTGTTGTCATTAGTACTTCTGACTTTTCGGTCTAATAACTCAGTTTGCAGAAGAATAAGATTGGTGCAGGAGGAGCCAAAAGGATTGCAGATGCACTGAAGACAAACCTGGCTCTCACAAAGCTGATGTAATCTAAAGCTTGAACACTTGAACATTTGATACTTTCCACACATATAGTTCTTGGGAATGTGTTCATCCTTTCTTGTTTTACTCTGCAGTCTTTGTGGGAATCAGCTTGGGGACAAAGGAACAATTGCTCTGGCAGAAGCTTTGACAGTCAACCACACTTTGCTCTCACTTCAGTGAGTACCTTCTGTGCTGGCAGGATGCTGCTACCACATCTGCATGTACTGCTAATGCATTGTGTTTAACATCGTGGATACCAACTTGAGTTCATAGACAATGAACATCGTCTTGCACATAAAAGCTGCATGCCTTTTTTTTTTGTTTGTTTGTTTGTTTTGAGCAGACTCCAGAGTAATTCGATCAGCAACAGGGGGATGACAGCCTTGACCAAAGCACTGAGGTCAAACCGAGGTCTTCTCTCTTTGAAGTGAGTGTCATTTATGTTACATCAGGTACTTTACCAGCAAAAAACAAGGCTACTTCGAAATGTGACTGGTTTTATGTTTTTTTTTTTTTGTTTTTTTTTGTCCTATTGGACAAAATGCCATGGGTGACAATAGATGGGTTATAAGATTACATTCTGACCACAGAGTTTTGCTTCTCTTGGTGACTAGGTGGACTGTTTTCTTGTGTACAGCCTTAATACAAATGGTCAATAGGAATGCCCAACAGACAAAACCAACAACACTTCCTGAACTAAAATCTGGTCCAAAGGCCCGAAGATTCTGCATATTTAAACTCAATTCATAAATAGAAGTGACACTGCAGTTTCTGTTCCTCCGTGTAAGACTTTCCTGAAATAGACTAAACTCAATACTAGAAAAAAATTAGCACTACATCAGTCAAGATCATTTCATCATCATCACTGGGTTACACAATGTCACTTTTTAGATGTGAATTACACTTTCTAAAACCCATACAGTTCTGTCCTGTTTTGAATTTATCACAATAATGTATGGACTTTTATTTAATTTAAAAACATATTTTTTTACAGAAATGCTCCTCTTTTAATTATTTGGTCACACATGAGATGCTTTTTTAGTCCTGAGGCAGAAACAATTCCTGGTGACACAGCTGGTGGCACTTTGGCTCAGCTTTAGGTTTACCTGGGGACTTAGGTATAAATGAAGGCAAAGCCAATATTAACACAGAACTTTCCTGGCATTTAGTCTTTTGAGAGGCTTCATTTCTAATCGCTTTTTTTCTTTGTTATCTTCTTTCTTGTTTAGTTTAAGGGAGAATTCAATTGGAGTTGAGGGAGCAAAGAACATGGCCCACGCCCTTCGAGACAACCACTCTCTGCAGGACCTTGAGTGAGTCACTTCATTTATCCGAAAAGTATAGCCAAGTTTAGTGTTTCACAAATCACTATAATCTCCAACTGCTTGGTAAATGTCCCTTTTCCAGGCTGTGTTATTTCTCCGTGGTTCATGTTAAATCACATGGGGCTACTGTCTTTCTGAATAAATATGATGGCATTCACAACTCAATATTCATGGCATTAGTGTCACAAGGCAGAGTTATAACAAAGGAAAAAGGATTCAAAATGCAGACTTAAAAGTTTTGGTAAACAAGAGCCGAGGTAAAACAAAAACTTACTTTTCAAAAGAGTCCTACAGAAAAATCCAAATGAAAAACACTAGGAGCAAAAAATCCTGGAGAAACAAAAGACACTGGGGGAAAACCTTGAGGGCATCAGGTTGGGACGACATACAGTCACGATGAACCAACAAGAGGGGAGGCTACAAGGGGACTAAATAGACAGGGTAACGAGTGACAAGAGGCAGGTGAGAGACACTAGGACACAGGTGCAGATGATCACCAAAGACTGAAAACACAGGAAGTACAACTATACTAGACACATAGGGATCGACTACTACAAAATAAAACAGGAAGTCAAACTAAGCCAGACACACAAGGAGAAGGAACTACAAAATAAAACAGAAAATAATGAAAAATGATCTGAAAAACAAGACAAACTGATAACTCACAAAACAGGATCACAGGGGACAGAAACACCAGGGAAAAACAAGTACATTACAAAACCAGGAAAAACTAAAATCCACAAGAACAAATCATGACAATTAACCTACCAATAATTTCTACAATCCCATTTATCCAGCTAAAGGAGGTAGAATTTAATCCAACCATGAAAGCTGTGTTATCAACATGACAGCAGACCAGCAGCTGTTTAGATTTTCTTACTGTTTTTTTGTCGATTAAGGAGTCATAAACTCTGCCATAATGATCATTGCCTATCATCTATTTTCATTTATGATGATGACACAAAGTCTATGACAATGGATGGATTAGTATACAAAAAACAATAAAATCCTATTCCTTGTTCAACCCACTGTCAGTGTTGTCAGAATTAGACTGAAATTTCCAGAAGGTTGAGGTGATCCACATTTCTTTGACTACTTCAGCTGTATGACGCATGTTACTTGGAGGCACTGTAGTAAATTTGTTCAGGACTATTCTAGTATCCTACTGTTTCAAAAGATTGTGTTTCTGTTGTGATTCTTGATTCATTTCCTGTGTATTTATTTGGCTGCATATGTCTATTTCAGTCTCACAGCAAACTTGTTGCATGATGAAGGAGTTCAAGCCATAGCAGGTGCAATCAAGGTCAATCAAGGCCTCACATCTTTGCAGTAAGTAACATCTAATTTCCTAGGGTATCCTGATGTTGGCAGAAAAACACAGCACCCCATCCTGTTGAGGACTTTTTGTTGAGAACAAGTTATTTAAAAGCGGCATAGAAAATCAGTCTAGTGGAGGTTTAAAATGTCCAAAATCACAGCAAGTCCTCAATCCACAGTCAGAGAGAAAAATTGCTTTGCAGTAATGTCACTTTGCAATTACAATAGAATAAAAATGGATCTGGCACATGCATATTAGTCCTCAAATTTCTCTTCTATTTTTACAGCCTCCAGTGGAATTTCATCAAGTCCTCTGCCACCAAAGCTCTGGCCCAGGCTCTTCTCTCCAATACTGTGATGCAGCTCTTGGAGTAAGGCTAACAGCTCGGGCATCTGCATTTGTCATCTTTTCATTATAAATCCCCCATTACAGCTGCCTCGTCCACCCTTCCTTTCCCTACAGTTTAATTGATGTTTTAAATGTCAAGGTTGTATGCCGTCAATATGTCCGGTCTAAAACAGCTGTCAGAAAATGACTACTTATTAAGTTTTAATGACTGGTTGTGGTCTTGGCAGCACCTGGGCAATTATGTGAAATTTCAGTTAAAGTTTTTCTATACTGTATTCAACAGTAGTGCCTGTGTGTGCGTGTGTTAATAGCTTTTTCTTTTGTTGCAGTCTACAGGAAAATGCTATAGGGAACGAAGGTGTCATTTTTCTTGCTGAAGCCCTGAAGACCAACGTGTCCCTGCGAACATTATGGTTGGTCTTGCAGTTATGTTTAATATGGTTTCTTTTACCAGCTTTTTGCGATAATACATCCTAAGTTTTATGCACATTAATGTTAATCAGTTTTTATCAGATTTGTGCTTGGACAGTGTTTTTCCATATGTGTAAATTTGCTGTTTCTTGCTTTTATCTTAAGTGTTGATCATTTGCATGTGCTGTCTCTTCAGTCTTCAGGGGGTCTCAGCAGGCAAAAGTGGCGCCATTGCAATGGCAGGTGCACTTATGGTGAACCAAACCCTGCAAACCCTGGAGTGAGTACACGCTCTCTTGTGTCAAACTGTTCTTTTTTTATTGTACATTAAGCCATGTAATAAGCAAGCAATTCAACACCAGAGGTTCTCTACTTTGGTCTTAAGTGGCACAACTATTCAGCTTTCATCTTCAGTCTGTGTATCTGGAGCATGGCATCCATTCACATGACCTAGACAAAAACACTTTAGCTTTTTGGTACATTTCTCTGTCTCATTGAATGTACTCAGGAGGACGCTCCTTATCTCAACCGCTTTTTTATTTTCAGCCCCCCAGTGTGTTGCTTAAATAGGATCAGTATTAAGTTTTAATTCACTGTCAAAAAATTCACAAATACCAAGCACATTAAAATGAAACTATAGTTTTATGTTCCCCATCAATGCCAGTCCTAAGACCCTCAGTGCAAATACATTACAACTAGTGTAAGTCCTCCAGTTCATATCCATTTGTCGGTTTTCAGAGGTTTGGCTCATACATAAACATGTAAACATCCCCCACTCTTTCTACTTTTAAATCACGTCCTAAAACTCATTTTTATTCCTTGCCTTTACGGTCAGCATTAGAGTTGTGTGATCTCTGTCTTATTATGTCTTTTGTGGTCCTTTTATCACTTTTTTTATGCTTTTGTGTTTTTATTTCATTTTATTTTAAATGTGTTTTACCTGTTTTTATTTATTGGGTCTGATTGGATATGCTGGAAATATTTACTTGAATCTCCTGTAGTGTTTGACCAGCAGAAAAAAAAAAAAAATGTGTGTGCAGGACTGATTTAAGGCCATTCTGTCTGTATGATTTTTAAGTATGTACTTCAATTAAGTGTCTTAAAACACCTACATTCAGGCCTTTTTTTTTTTTTACTTCTAGAGTGTGAAAGTACGTAGTATTGATTCTTTTTAGGCCATAATGAAACTCTTCTCCTCAGCTTTTTTTTTCAAACCCAAAAAGAGAATCAGTTTTGACTGTAGTGGCTGTTTTCTCATACTTTTTTCATCTTTATGTAAAACAGTCTGCAAGTCATTGCAAAGACTTTAACCAGGCAAATAGAGAAGGAAAAAACCTCAAATGCAAGGGCTTGAAATAAAAATTAATAAATAAATTTAAAAAAGAAAAGAAAAAAAAAAACAGAAAAAAAAACCTAATTGAGCACTGATGGGAAGAAAACTGGCTTTTTAAAATCCTACACATGTACCATAGTACAACAGCACAAAGTCTCACATTGTTATATACTTAATGAAACACTTTTTCCACTGTTGCAGTCTGCGTGGGAACACTGTGGGGATGGAGGGTGCCAAGGCTCTGGCTAATGCACTGAAAAGTAACAGAAGCCTTAAGTCACTGAAGTAAGTGCAGCCTCGAATCTGTCATATTCATAACCAGTTCAGTACGTGTCATTGCCAGATAGATAGAAGGGGACAACTTTTCAGTAAGACCAAGAATGTTGCATAGGAGAAGTAAGTTCATAGGACAGAATTATAGAAAACATCATTTGTCTGTTTGTGTTTATTAGTCTGCAGGAGAACTCTCTGGGTATGGATGGAGCCATCTTCATTGCAACAGCCTTGAAGGGAAACCATCAACTAACATACATCAAGTGAGATCTCTGGCCTACTACTCATCTTTGTTGTCTCTCTACATACAGTATAGTTTTTCTATAAAAGCTGTGCACTAAAGATGAGAAGCTTTCATAACTCAGTTAATCTTAACATCATGTATTTGATTTTGTGTTCCTGTAGTTTACAAGGGAACGGCATTGGAGAATCTGGAGCAAAGGTCATATCTGATGCCATCAGAACCAACGCTCCGGGCTGTGTTGTAGCCATCTGACCAAGGAAAGATCATACTCTACTTGAGAATGTTGTATACTGTATAATGGAGCGCATCACAAGTAGAGCAGAAGTAGATAGCTGTAGATATCCTTATGAAACCTATATAAGTGTCACTGTATCTTGGATTGATATGTGTGTATTTATTTTTATATTGACTGACTTTCAAGTGTGAAAAAGAAATTAAAAAAGGTTGAATATGAGCATGACATACAGCACCATTTTCACCACTGCATATGCTAAGTGACTCATGATTAGAGTGGAGCTGCATCTCTCATGAACCGTCTTTTTTAAGGTGCCACTCTGTACATTTTCTGTTTTGCACAAATTAACTACCATCCACAGATAATGTAACAGATACTCAGTTTCTCACCTCTATTTATATTTCATACTCGTCTTCACTCCTGCTGTGATAGTCCACATCAATATGTCTTTATTTTGCAAAATAGCTGACTGAATCAATTTCAGTGTACAGAGTGTTCTCGACTACAAGATCAAATCCCACTCCATTTTCCTAATCAGAGAATGTTCAGTAGCTCCTCAGGCCACCATCATACCTGTCTGTATTCAGTAACTGTCATGATTTACCATGATGTTACCTGCCACTGACAATGTTACCCGGGAATCCCACTGGATCCAGACCCGCAGGTGGATCAAGTATGCAAGCATATAGCGCCCACTGGATCCAAGCCGCCTCCACCATTGGAGGAGAGACTTGACGAGATTTTGCGTGTTTCCCCGTGAGACATTGAATGAGATCCGCCGATCAGTGTATACTAACAGCGGTGTATATAAACAACCACATCCCACAACCCTGGCCTCTCCTATTATCAAGTAAACAACAGTTTAACGTATTTACTTTCTTTTATTTTGAAAATTAACCGTATATTTTAACCGCATACAACTTCTGCTGCTGCTCGTGCTGCACTGCACTGAAATTGTTGCGTATTTGATCTGCCTGCCGTGCTGGAGCAGAGCGGAGCTGAGCCGTTACGGATCCTGTGGGTTTTGCCCGTTAGGCTACGAGTTTGCATGAAGAGGAGCATGCAGAGCAGCGCTGTCTCTGCCAACGACTCAGAGGTGAATTGCTAATGAGCTACTGGAGCTCTGCAGAAGAAAAGCCCTTGAAAATGATATGGGTAACCAGTTTGGCTAAAAACTTCATAATCACAATTTAAAAACCATTGAGAACTCTTTAAATAGTTAAGAAAAAACTAACAATTTGAATGGGACTTTAAAGAGGATATAGGCCTAGAGAAAACAAATGACTCTGCATCCACCTCTGATTCACCAATACCGATTGCCTACATACATGGTGAAAATGACAGGGTTGAGAACATAATTGAAATATACTGATGCTCTCTTGTCGTTGAGAATGAAGTGGATATGCCATATCCATGACACAGTGTTGGTTATTAATAACGCTGAACCTCCAACAGGCCACAGCAATCTCATCTTTCTCAGGTTTTAAAATTCCAACAGCTAAAAGATAAACATCACAGACACCTGCTTTAATGAGATGCAACAATACTAGAATATAAACCAGAATGTAAGCATATATTATGTATACAGGGGTATGACTAACCAGATTCATTTGTGCTCATGTAAATGCAACATCCCAAATACAATCAAAACTGGGATCAGGCTCATAACCGGGATGTTCACATTAACTGAGACATTTTCTTTTCTGTTTCCTAGTCTTTTAACACCTCATTATTCCATCTGTATTATGTTTAGAGTTTAACCCATCCTCAATGTCAAATTTCCTCAATCATGGTCATGTTGTTTTTTTTTTTTTGTCTTTACCCTTTCCTGTCACAACAGTTTGAGCCTCTTTTTTTGTTTTCTGACAATAAACAAAGCTATGTAAAATTAAGAGGTTTGTTTGTTTGCCATGGTCTATGATCAGACCATGGCATCAACCTTATCAACTACACGTTGATTGCAGTTATACCATAACCATATATGACTTCCAAACTTAAACATTTTGGTGACAGTGCTAATTAGAGGATCTGATCAGGAGAAGTAATCAGCAGCCAGAAGTTGTCCTTCTCATACTGTTACCTCACCAATGTGTTGATAGAAGCTGGCCTTGTGTTTAGACTCTGATTTTCAATCATGTCCTGATTTGCTGAGCAGTTTGAATGTGAGTTTTTCTAACTGCACTCAATTTTCTCTGTAACTCAGGACTGAACATTACCTCTATTTACCCCAGAACACTAGCTACAACTTTTTCTGTAAGTCTTCAATTGAATTTGTTTCATGGTTTCAGGGATTCAGTCTTTTGGGAGAAAAACGCTTCAAAATTGAGGTTTTATCATCTCAGTGGGGGATTCAGAATTTTTGTACGTGCCACATTCTCACGAACTGTGAGTTCCAAAGAAACAAGTTTGCAGCCACAACAGTTGAACAAGGTTGTTTCTAAACATGGCAGCTGATCACAATGACTGCGCTAACATGCTCATTTAAAGCAGTGATAAACCCATTGTGCCTGCCATCAAAATGTAGCACACACCACTCTTAAAACAAAGCATGCAATTTATCTGGCAGCTGTGTCACTAGCTTTGTGAGTATTGTTGAGGAAATTATAGCATAAATCCAAGGACCCAGGATTCCTGTGTGGCCAGAGAGGTTTTTTTTAATGGTAGCAAGTGGTGAAGTCCCCCAAAGTGACAGAATGACAATCTGGGGGAGTTGACACCAAACAATAGCTGTGATCTTTGTTCTCCAACTAAACAGTCAGACAACAGAAATTCTTCTAGTAGGTTCCAAATTCACCCTATCCAAAGCTGACAGTCTCTTCCCATCGACAGTTCCTCAGTTTCCCCCTCCCCTCAGGTCAAGAGTCTGGGTGTCGTCCTTGACAGTACTCTTTCCTTCAAATCCCACATCAGCCTTACCACTCGGACTGCCTACTTCCATCTCTGCCACATCAATCGGCTCCGTCCCTCCCTCTCCCCTAACACCACCTCCATCCTCGTCCACAGTCTCGTCACCTCCCGTCTGGACTACTGCAACTCCCTCCTCTTCAGTCTCCCTCACACGTCTCTCCTTAAACTTCAACTGGTCCACAACTCCACTGCCCGATTCATCACCAAAACCCCTTCGTCCCACTACGTCACCCCCATCCTGCAGCAGCTCCACTGGCTCCCGGTCCCACTAAGAATCCAGTTCAAAATCCTCCTGTATACCTTTAAAGCCATCCACAGCCTCGCCCCTCCTTACCTGTCTGACCTCCTCCACATCGCCACTCCATCACGCCGCCTCCGATCCTCTTCCTCTCTCCACCTCACTGTGCCCCCTGTTCACCTTAGCACCATGGGGGGCAGAGCTTTCAGTCGCTCTGCCCCCCGACTCTGGAACTCTTTACCATCACACATCCGCAACATAGACTCCCTCCCCCTATTCAAGTCCAAACTCAAGACACACCTGTTTAAACTGGCCTATCCATCCCACCACCCCTAACTCACTCTTTTAATTTAATTTTAATTGGTATTATTTATTTCTTTATTTATTCCTTTGCTGTTGTTTATGTTGCTTTGTTGATTTTAACTGTTTTGATGATTGATGATTTTAATTGTTAATAGTGTTTTGTTATTATTGTTTTATATGTTCTGTAAAGTGTCCTTGAGTGACATGAAAGGCGCTCCAAATAAAATGTATTATTATTATTATTATTATTATTATTATTATTATTATATACCATTAGAACAAAGACTCTGAGGTGAGCCAATAGAATGACAGGCAAAAATACAAGTTGACCAATGACAGGCTAGCAAATAGCATTCTCCAGATCAGAACAGACAGAATTTTTGTCATCACTATAGCTTATAAATGAGATATAACTTAAAAATACCACCCATGATATTTCCCCATGTCCCCAGGTAAACTGACAAAAAGAGTGTGTTTTAAGCATGTCTAGCAATTATCTATCTGATGTTAAGTGTTTAAGGGGCTGCAAATTGATACAGCCAAAGTCCAGAGGAAAAACTCAACAAACATCTTTGAGTATTTCTCAATGTAAAAACAAGGAAAAGATGAAAAGCTGACATAGCTATGGATAAATGAATGTGAGCTGGCTTGCAGGGCCTGGAAATTTTGTTTTCTTTGTTCGTGTATGTTCACTAGGTAAACAAACTGACAGCTGGATCATAAAAACCAGTCAGTATGGCAACGAAAAAGACTGGATTTGCAGGACAAGCATAGTGCTTCCAAACTACAGCCGGTGTCATGTTGGTGTTAAAGTCAGATGCAAGATTGCCAACACTTGGCAGTTGAACCAATCACAACGGACAACTTGAAAAGACAAAAATTTGTAACATTGTCTGAATCGTTATTTCTTTAAAGCACAATGTGTAGTAGGGGTGTGATGAGATACCCAACCTAAGAGACGAGACACTAGATTGACCACATCAAAATGAGATGAGATTTTAACACTATTTCAAAAGTGAATATATGGCTGGAAAAATACTTGGATTTAAATGATAGACACAGAATGCCAAACAGAGCAGGTCCATTTTTTATGCAACCATGCTAACAGTAACTAACTCAGGAAGTTTATCCACAGCAGGTGAATAAAACACTCTGCAGAATTGTGTAACAATGTCTTTATTGTGTAGAGCTGTAGTAGTTCTGTTTTCCTTCCTTTTTTGTTCTGAGATGAAAAAATTTTTTTTTGTTCCTTGCACTTAGTAAAACTATCTCGCTGTCTTCTCTATTTACCGGCTGCCTATTTCGTCCTCAGCCAATTAACTTTCATTCCCTTTACCCACATCAGTGTCATTGGTGCTAACATGAGAAGTCATACAGCAGTGGTTGGTAGAGAAATCTGTTTATAGCTTCAATATGAAAATGTATACAGTATGTTTATGAAGTCATTGATATAAACTGACAGGCATATAAATCAATACAAAGAAGACAATTTCCTGTGTGTTTCCCTCAAATAGCTCAGCCATATATCATTTCATTTACCAGAGACCTACAACGGATAGGTCTATTATGGTACCAGGTGCGACACTATGGTGAACACACAAAATAACAAGACCAAGAAACCTGAACAATAGCATCAGTCACAATAACAGGGTCAAAGATCACTGACTAGGAGGACGCCACCACACCTGAGAGCAGATACTTTCTGATCACAGAGGTTTTCATCTCCCCACAAATATGACACATCTGCTCTCTGGTCAGGTTTTAGCAACCTCATCATCTGATACAAGGATTATTTAGGAAATTTTGTAAAGGAGTGTTGTTTTGTTGTTGTCTTCGGAGCTTTATCTGAGGTTATGATCTATGCACAATTGTATTGTGATAACAATACAAGAATAAGAGGGTTACAAATTAATTTGAAATGCCACAGCTACTCTGAATAGTGATGGGAGATAAATCAGAAGTTTAAAAAGAGTCTCCATCAGATAAACCGGGGTAAACACTACAAAATTAATCTGGAGGAGTCAGGTTACAGGAGCTTCCATCCCAAATATGCTCCTTAGACAGTTGGAGCCACCTCAATTTGACACCATAACATCAATAGTATTTAGAAACACTTCCTTTTTTTTGTTGAGAAACATAAAGACAGCTGTTTGTTGCCCCAGAAGCTGCACTTCACTGCTAAAGATTATGATAATTTCCAGTCTGTTGATACCTGCCAAATTTGTCATTATTTGTCATCTTGTGAGGGGTCTCTACTTTGCCTTCCTTGTGAGGTTGTGCAGAAACAAAGACTGTCAGGCTTCCTGTTCAGCATGTGACATGTTCAACCACCAAACCTGCCTTGTACCTTTCTATTATATGAGATTAAACAGCAGTTCTTTTTTTTTTTTTTTTTTTTCAACTTTAAGTGCAGTTAGATGTAACATGTACATTTTTCCCTTGTCTCCATCAATTAAGACTGATCTCAGTGTGGAGACGGTGAGTGCAGTTATCCACAAAAATTGGCCATAAACAAGATAAAACACTTTCTTCTATTCTAAATGTGTTTTTGAACTCAAACTCAGCATGTACCAAAAAACCACCTGACCTTTGATTGAGGGAAAGTAAACATCTATTCTTGGCTCGAACATGCACACACAGTCTTTGAAGGTCTTTTATTTGCATGATGAATCAGACAAAAACATATAGAAGCTTGTTTCTTACATGCAGAAGTACTGTTACGCTCCCAGTTGTATTCAGTTAAAGATTTCCCATTTTGTGAGATTTACAAAACAAAAAGTCAAGTGGTGTGTATATGCACTTTTCGTTGTACAATTTGGCTCTTTTAGATTTTAACTCACATATCCTCCAGTGGAGAACTACAAGGCTGTCTAACTAAAACTCATTTACTTTCACACAGCTGAAAGTTGCAGCTTGAATGTCAGACAAGATTTTAAAAACATACAGACGAACTGGCTAAACATACAGTACAAGGGATAACCTGGTGGTCAGGGTTACTTAAAGCTGCATTGTGTTTGATTATAATTACAACGTTTGGCTCGGTATGTGTCGCACATGAAAACATGTGCAATATTTCTGATGAAATCAATCTGATTATACTGTTTATTCCAACAGTACAGGACATATGGACACTATACAAAGTAATCCAAGGGTGTGTGTGTGCACACATGAAAATGTGCACACCCTGCCTAGTCTGCCAAAAATACCAGAGTAAAGCGTGATTGTTGATTTGGTTGTTTTATTGAGGACCGCTAACCAATGACCAGTTATGCATGTATCCACACATGCCCATGTAGCATTTCTTTTAATATTTGTCTGCTGAAGTCCAGTATGTGTCTCATGAAATTCTAAAAAAAGGTTTTGTATCGCAACATTAAAACATGTTTCTTATTCTCTAACCAATCAAATCAAGTGAGGATAGAATGTGAAGTGGTTAAATTATAAGATTTGCACTATGGTAGGATTTCAAGTCAGCATTCACCACCCCTCTAGATCAGGTTAAACTACGTGTTCATAGCTAATAACATCACCTATTGGTTTTAGACAAGGTCTAAATCTCTGTGATGGATTTGCTGACTCAAACTGACTTTCATTACTTTAATAGGGAAGAAATTAAACCCCCAGTACTATTGTTGCAAAAATGCAAACAAAAAAATGGGGTGAGACAACAAAAACAATTTTCTTTTACCAGGCTGTAAGTATGGTACATTCTGCTGTAATAGTTTGAATAAGGGCGCTCATGGCTTTTGCTCCCCTGTTAAAGTCTGCCTCAAGTGGACTTTGAAGAACTAAAATCTCTTTTTCTTTTCAGCACAAGAGGTTGACACTTGGGTCAACCTCTTGTGCTTTAAAAAGTATCCCATTTATCAAGACAATTATACTGGAGAATATTTTGAAAAGCTTTTTGTAAATGTATTTTTAAGATCAGAGGTCTTTATAACTCTGTTACATCCTTGCTACAAAGAAAGCTGATGGAAATGCTATCCAAAATGTCCGTAGAGGTCAAAATAAAGATAAGGTAAAGGATAAGGTCAGTGTGATGTTTAAACTACACAAGGACACCAGACGCATAACGAAGAGAATAAAACCAAAGGGGAGTGTTACTTATTTAAGTTGTCTGTTGCCCATATTTGGGAATGATGACCACGATCCAAAAAGACTGAGAACGCGGAGATCAGAGACTCTGAAACCCCACAATTAGGGGGCCCTTCTGTGTATCTGCTTGATGTATCTTTCCTGGTCTATTCTTTGATTGACTTTGATGCCAACAGAGAACAGTCGTGTTATTTCAAAGGGCTGCTTGAGCATATAATGTCTGTATTATAATGGGAGCATTAGCATGTGTGCTGCTCCGTAACAAAGGGAGGCTTTTAAGGACACACAGAGAAAATCAATCACGTGAGAACCTCAAAGAGATATTAGCCAGTATGGAAAATAGAAGTTTTGGTAAAAGGGCACATCCATTATAAACAAGGAAAACTGCTCTCTATGCGTTAAATCTACGTATAAATGGGGAAAGAAAGGAGACAGCAGAGACAGATTTGGGGCTTAAAGTGGTTCAGAAAAAAAACAGTGCAAAAGGCATGTTGTAGAGTATGAGGTGTGATACAACAGGGACTTCAGTGGGTATTATTATTACGTTGAAATGAGTGAGAAAATCAACAGCTGTAAAAAGAAAAAAAAAGATAAATAAAAAAAACCCACTACTCCAAATGTGATTTTTCAGTTGCAAATGAGCCCTCTTCCTACGAGGTCGTCCATTATGCTGAACTTGTAAGAAAATAATGAATTATGATAAGGTTATCCCCCTGCACAGCATTTTTTAATAAGAGAATAAGCTATTCTGGCCAAAACTCTTTTTTGTAGCTGAGAAGTGTTTATTCCTACTGTAGAGCAGATTTTTTGAACATGTTGATTGGATGTCCTAAACTTTGAAGAAAGTTTCAAGTGGACACTCCCAGCACTAAAGCACTCCCACATTCAAGTCATAGTGCTCTATTTTCGTGTCTGCCGGTGGTGCGGCGGACAGTGGCAGACCCCATACAGTGGTATTTTCGTCCAGCGGAGCCCGGCGTACAGCCAGTTTGGTATTTTCGTAGACTGAGGCACGCCGAGGTCCGCCAAGCTGGGCGTGGATGCGTGGTAGGGGGAGGTGTCGACAGAATCAGCTGACGCAGTGACATTTTTGTGCCCCCCGACAGCGTAGAAAGTGCGCTGAAAGCTTGTCGATTCAAACCTGGTCAGCTTTCAGCACAGGCGGAGCGCAGCTGGTCTAGAGGTATTTTGGT